TCCTTCCACATAGCTGGGTGCGATTTCCCCCTGCCCTTTGGCCTTGTTATCTGGACAGCTGGAGTAGCTTCGGTGGCAGCATCTGTCTCTGTCACTCAAGCTGTCTTTGCAAGGTTTCCTTGCACCGAGACCTCCCACCCGAGCCCCGGATGGCTATTTCAGATGGGACATGTGGAATCTTCCACTTTGGAGATATGACAATGGAAGAAGGAAAGGGGATCTTTCAGCAGGAAGTCATGCTTAGGGACCCTGGTTTGGCTGGCGAGTTTTAAATCTTTGGAGGTTAAGGAGCAAGGGACCAGTTCCTTTGTGTTTGCTCGTTCATTCATTTAGCTGCATTTCAAAGCCAGTGAGTGATTTAAAATCTCAAAGCAGCATACAAAATGCAACAACAGAAAACCCAGTATCATAAAAAGCAGAGATGCAACATCAGAAATGGGTTAAAAGAAGAATTCAGAAATAACAGGGTCCAGAGGAAGCCTAACAGGTAACAGAGGAAGCCTAAGCAAAATAGATAGGTCTTTAAAAGACACCTGAAGCAGCTGATGGGTGATGCTCCATGACTGGCAGAGCATCACCCATCAGTTGCTTCAGGTGTCTTTTAAATGGGTATCTCCTGCCAACATGGCAGGAGATACCCATTTGGGGTCACCGCCCTGTGATATTCTGTAGGGCGTGCTGCCAGCAGTAGAATTTCCCCAGATGATCTAAGTGATCTTAGCGGTCTATACAGGGCTAGGCAATCTTTCAGGTAACCTGGTCTGAAGCTGTTCAAGGGCTTTCTTTATATGTTAGTAACAAGAACTTGAACGTTGCCCAATACCTGATCAGCAGCCTCTGCAGTTGCCTCAGCCAGGGCCGGATTTAGGTTTGATGAGGCCCTAAGCTACTGAAGGTAATGGGGCCCTTTATATGTCCAGCTGTCCTTTGTCAACAACAAATTGTCGCTGCTTTTTGTGTTGTATATATGCTGTATGGTAATTTATGGACCTAATAGGTATCTAAAGCCATTTGCACATGCAGAATGTAGGCAACCTATATATAGAAATGAGCAAACTAGTGATATTTGAGGGAGCAGGCTAGCAGGCGGGGCCCATTACTTACATCAAAGGAGCCTACACAACACAAAAACACTGTTGCTGTATGTAGGTTTTATTTTATTTGTTTTTTATCTTATATTTTGGAAATGTACATCCAGATTTTTTTTCTTTAAATTTTTTTGGGGCCTCCAAGAGAGTGGCATGGTCCAGCATAGGTTGAATATGTACGTATCCACTCCAGTCACCTGGCCACAGCTTTACACATTAGCTGCAGCTTCCAGACCAGTCTCAAGGGTTGCCTTGTGCCTAAGACAAGACAAGAGTCTGGGTATTTTAGCTTTAGGGCTATAATATTTGCAGATCAAGGGTTTTGTAGTGGGTTGGAACAGCATATCTAATCAACTTCATCATGGGCGTAGTCAGGGGAGGAAGCTGCTCCGCCCCAATCAATACAAATCAATACAAATCTGAGGTTCTGCTCCCCCTAACAAAAGCCTGCGCCCCCAAATGCTGGCTATGCCCATGAACGTTACCTATGTCCCCTTTTGATTGCCAAATGAAAATTCCCTCCAGAGCATTTGTGGCATAAAAAGTGAAATGATTTCAGCAGGAATCTATGGGATGTACACTGATGGGGAACAATGTGTGCCTGCCCCAAAACTTCTGAATGCTGGATTACGCATAACCTCCCTGATACCACCATGAGCACAAAATATAATGAATATACTATGAAAAGGATGTCCAGAGGCTCTTTATAGAAATGGAGGTGCTTTGTTATGTATTGGTGCCGGGGGAATTGCAGTTTATGTCAATTATTATTTATTATTGATATACACATACACACACACACACACTGTTTGATTGTAGCAAAATCTCTAAGCGGCTATATATATATATATATATATATATATATATATATACACAGTTTGTAGTTCTTTTGTATATTATATATTGTGTGATAACAGTTTAAAAGTAATCTCCTGTATTTTATATCTCAAACATTTCTCTTGTTTTATTTTCCATTTGCTATAGTAACTCTACTGGGGGGGGGGAATTATAATTGTTTTTCTTAAAAAGGAGCAACATTCTGAGCAGTTCAAAGACCAGCCACAAAAATAACCTCTGGCAGCTGCTATAGGTTCTACTGTGGCTTCCTGCAATTTAAACCTCCCCAGGAAAGAGTATGATCAAAACTTCCTCTTGACTGGAAGGGAGCAGGGTGGGGCGGAAAAGAGGCTCTGGCTCTTAACCCTGTCAGTGCCAGACAGACCCAAGGGCCACAATTAGATCAATGCATCTAAATAAGTGGACTTTCTGGTCCATAAGCGCTTAGGCCATTTAATGCATTTGTTTGTCTTTAAGGTGCTAAAACACACTGTTTTTGCTGCAAAAAGAGACTCATGTTGATACCTGCCCTATATAGTAAAGGTAAAGGTACCCCTAACCGTTAGGTTCAGTCACGGACGACTCTGGGGTTGCGGCGCTCTTCTCACTCGATAGGCCAAGGGAGCCAGCGTTTGTCCGCAGACAGCTTTCGGGTCATGTGGTCAGCATGACTAAGCTACTTCTGGCGAACCAGAGCAGCTCACGGAAACGCCATTTACCTTCCCACCGGAGCGGTACCTACTTATCTATTTGTACTTTGAAGTGCTTTCAAACTGCTAGGTGGGCAGGAGCTGGGACTGAACAACGGGAGCTCACCCGGGAATTTGAACCGCTGACCTTCTGATCGGCAAGTCCTGTAATCTCAGGGTCAGTGGTGGCTGGTGTCCACTGGAGCTGGTAGCATTGTAGGGAGGGAGGCTCCCAGTAGGTGGTGCCAGAGCCAATAACAGGCAGAGACAACTTCTTCTAGTTTTGTCCCCATTCTCCTCCCTGATGGGTTCTACAAGGGCAACACTAAGAAGGGGGAGAAAGTTGACAGCTCATGCCAGGTTGTAAGTAAGAGGGCAGGCCAGTGGGAGCTGTCTGAGGTTAGCAGGGCAGGCCCCACCCACCCAAACAGACTGGTCATTTGATGGGGATAGTAAGCTTTTTGTACTTCAGTTAATTCTCTGTTCTCCACCTTACGTTCTCCTTCAAATGACTCCCTTTCCACACTTTCCCATCCCTCAATCCGGATTTTATTATATCAGGGATGCTCTGAAAAGGAGAGGGTATGAGAAAACCTGAAGGGAGCGCGGGAAATGCACACCAGCATAAAGTGTGCATTGAGAGGCACATGTTGGTGAAAGGAACATACAAGAATGTGTTATATTTGGGATAATTGAGGTGCAAAAATGTATATGTTAGGCAAAATCACATACAAATGTACACTTTATGCTGATGATTTTAATGAGGATATGTGTTTGTTTATATGTTTGGGGGTTGTGGTTTTTTAAAAATTAAACTTATGTGGAAATGTAGAGAACTGAACTTAAGAATAGAAAATATTAGAAACTGACAGGGGGGGGGGACTGGAGGATTTACCCATCCTGCAGTGCCTGGAGACAGGCAGGCAGGCAGGTCATGTATCCATAGTGGTGACCAGAGAAGAATGACTGCTAGGAGGAGTGCAAGGAGTTGAAACACCATGGTACACCTGCGGCAGCACAACCAGACGCCTTCATCTGCCCCAGCTGCAACAAAACATGTCTCTCCTCTACAGCCACAGCTGGTGGTACAACGTTGTAACAGTTGCACTTTGCTCATAAAGACACACTTCTCCATTGTCTCCTGAGACGGGAGAATGCCAACAACAAGGCCATTTATTTATTTATTTATTTATTTGATTAAACCAGCCTTTCACCATGGGCCCTCAGGACAGGTTACAACAACCATACGATTAAAAACCACAGAGAAAGTCCTTTCCCAGGCTGCCATTCCTTCCACTTCTGAGGGTGGGGGACTATCATGAGGGGGCCCCTCTGCTGATCTTAAAATTCAAGAGGGTCTGTATGGATGGAGGTGGGTGTCCAGATATTCAGGGCCCAAGTTGTTCAGTGCAGCAAGGCTTGCCAAGGCACCTGTGAACACACATATGCCCAAAAAGGCCCTGCTATCCACAAAGTCCCCTCTCCCTACTCATCCCGTGTGCTTAAATTAAGCTTGAAAGAAGTGTTATACTATAGCAGGGGTCAGCAACCTAAGGCCCATGAGCCACAAGCTGCCCATGGGGGTTGTTTAACTGGCCCATGGACTCTTGCCCGCTCGGTTGGCTCCCATGCGTGGGGACCGCCTTCCGTGACGCAGGCCGGCTTCCCATTGGCTGCAGGCACGCATGCCTCCTCCACGCTGGAAGGAGCGCTGGAAATAGTGTTTGCGCATGCGTGCATGCATGTGCACACGCACACACACTCCAGCCCACCGCAGCATTTGCGGGACCGTGAACTGGCCCAAGCCACAAAAACTTTGCCGACCTCTGTACTATAGCCTATATACCAGGCTGAAGTGTGAGCTTGGTTGTAGGGAATGTCATGCCCACAGCAATATCTCCAATTTGAAAATGTCCCCACAACCCCCAAAAGATTTGATTTAGGGATATGTGGGTGTGTAAACACACACACACATGGAACTGTGGTTTATCCCCGACAGAGCTGCAGTTCCCCGCAGCTTTAACAAACTACAGTCCGCAGGCTTCCTAGTGGCAACCATGTCCTTTACACATGCTTTGAATGTGGAATTGACCATCAGTATACTTCATCAGCTTCTTGCAGACGCAATAAGTCAGTTTTACACCTAAGTTGCAGGTGCAGCACATGCAAAAATGGCACACCCCCAAGTCCTCCTCGCTTTTTGGATTTCTGAAAGCAAATGTCACGCAACACAGAGGGATGTGTGAGAAGCGGAAGGGTTAATGCTGTTGGCAGAAACGCAGGAAGGCTCTGCGGGGCAATAAAGACTGTGGCATGGAAGGGGTCAATAGCATCATGCCTGGGGCAGCTCAGTTCAGAAAGGGTTAAGGCAGGGGAGGGAGGGAGCTTGTTTGTGTCTTCCTGCCCTGGCAGCCCATATTTACCAGCCAGCCTGCTGCTGCTGCAGCTGCTGAGCTCACTTTGCCCGTCTGTCTGGCCATCTTTTGCTGGAGATGGCAAAGCAGCGTTGACATGTCTTTGGCCAGGATAGCAAGGTGAGTGCCTCTTCGGGGATAACTCTACCTGCTTCTAGAGGCTCCCTGCCTCCAAAGCCAGCGAGGGTGGGTTATAGGAAGCAGCCTTATAGCGAGTCAGACCATTTGCTCATCAGGATTTTCTGTGCTGCCAGGCAGCGGCTCTCCAGCATTTCAGACAGGGTACCGTCCTAGACTTACCTGGTGATGCCACGGGGATTGAACTTGGGACCTCCTGCATTCAAAGCAGATACTTTTTTGGAAGGGTGGTGATGTCTGATTAACTGCTCAGGTAGGTGTGTGTGTGTGCTTTATGAACTTGGATGAACTGAGGATCTTCCTGCTCTAGGCAATCTCCCAAAAGGAAAGTTGTGCTGTATGAATTTGGATGACATGTAGATTTTTGAGCTCTAGGAACCCAGCGCCTCTCCCCCCCCCAAAAAAATAGGAGTATTGTGGTACTGTAAAGAAATACTAACAAATGCATTGTAGTAGCATAACCTTTGGTAGACAAAATGGGGAGGTTCAAACAACAGGGTTTTATGAGTACCAGGTGAATACCTTCTTGTTTTCTCAGATCTTTTAATTTAATTTACAGAGCAATCCTATGCAATGAGTTCCATAGAGCTTACTCCTAGGAAAGCATGTGTCTGTGTAGGCTTTTAGCCGCAATCTATTGATGTTGCTCTTGTAGATTCTGCTGTTCTTGTAGATCTATTGATGTTGCTCTTGTAGATTCTGCTGTTCTTGGTGTATTTTTGCCCACTTTTAACATTTTTATATATTTTGAAAATCTGTAACTTGCCCTAGAAATTCGACTGGATGGCAGGAGGCAGATCCCTGCGATCAATCAATAAAGACCAGTGCACAAACTTCAGGAAAACACTTTATACGCACGTGACAAAATGGGATTTTGTGTACAGAAGCACTGGACGCAATAAACTTCCCTCTGGAAATGGGCAGTGGTAGAATATTGTAAGGTCTCCAGGTTTAATCCTCAGCATCTCCAGGCACAGCTGGGAGAGAATCCTGCCTGAAACACTGGAAAGCTGCTGCCAGTCTGTGCAGACATTGCTGAGCACTCAATATAAGGCACCTTTCTATTTTCCTAATGCCTTGGGACCCCATTTTCATTGTTGTCCTTACAGGCAGAACTGGACAGACCACCCATCTGCTTTGCTAGCAGGTATTTCCTGTGGTGAGCAACCCAGAATGCGACTCTCTTTCTTTTTTAGCCTCCTCTCGGGGGAACGGAGCTTGGAGTTCTTCTCTCTTCTCAGTCCGCTGCACGTAGGTATCCCATTTGGCCAGGGCTGCCCTGTAGTTAAAACCCGCCTCCGGCGAGTGTGTGGCAGGGAGGAGGGAGGCTGCTTGCCCCAGGCGTGCTTATTTATAGCTGTGGATTCAAGAGGCAAAAAGTTCAGCCGTAATTGGGGGGTCTGGTTCTGTAGCCTGGAGAGGATGACTTCTCTCCTGGCATCCTAGGGAGAAAGCTGGCTGACCTTTGCAAGGTTTAGAAGGAGGTGGGTGTCCTCCTCTTGGGGTCAGCCTACGGAGTGCGTGGCAGCAAGGAATCGGTTTTTTTTTGCTTTGCCACAGAGTAAAAAAAATGATGGGCGGCTGCAGCCAATCCTGGCTCTCTGAGGGCTCCTCTAGACGGATGGGTGTGTGAAGACTGTGCGTTGGTCAGCATGCACTGATCTACACACATAAAACTAATTCATGCACAGGCGTCTTCCAAAAACCCATCCCAACCCCATGCTTGTATTCTGCAGCATGTTATGGACACAATAATAATGCTACAATTTGATGCGTGCTTTAGCGATCGATTTCTCTTCCCAGGAAACTCTGGGGGTTGTAGCTGTGAGAGGGAAATAGTCCCTCTCCCCCCCCCAACAACTCTCAACACCCTTACCAAGCTATAGTTCCCAGCATCCTTTGCAGGGAAGCCATGATGGTTTAAAGTGGCATGATACTGCTTTAAATATATAGTGTAGAAGGGCCCAGGATTGAAAGCAGGACCCGGTCTTCCTATATTGCACTTTTATTAAGTGCTGGGCCACCTCAGTCTGTAGGGCATGAGACGCTTAATCGTGGGTTTGAGCCCCATGTTGGGCAAAATATTCCTGCATTGCAGGGGTTGGGGGCTGGATGACCCTTGTGGTCCTTTCCAACTCTACAGTTGATTCTATGCTTAAAGCATAAAATTTGTTGGCAATCCTTCCCCAAACCCTATATGCCAATCTAATATTATTATTCCCTTGGGGTTGAAGGGAATCACATGATGAAAGATGGCGGCCTACCTAAGGCTATCCATACTGGAGTTTTTTGCGGTTTGGAAAGTGACAGGAAATGCTTTGGCAGGGTGAGGTGAGTGGATTATTAACAAGGAGACATGAAAACATCCCACAGCCAGGAGGAATGATTGATAAATACGTTGTCTGGAGGGACCCCTACTAAGGTGCCAGCTCAGAAACGTGGGAATGACTAGGAGTTGGGGCGCAGGAGAAGCAGTCTCCCCAGCATCTGACAGTCTGCCTGGTACAAGGCTGACTCTGCAGGAGACCCAGTATAAGGAAAGGGGCATCACTTGAGGGGCTGTACAAAGGAATCTGGGCCTTTTCCAGGATGTGCAATTTCTCTCTTTGTACTGATAACCAGATATACTTAGGGCCCCTTCTAGATGTCCCTTTTATTCAGCATTCATGATGATATTGGGGCAGCCATATGCAATCCTGCTTTTGATATTCTTTACTCCTGCCAAAGTTACACTGCTGCACTTCCAATCAGCACATCTTCTGCAGCTTAAATAATACACCCCCAATAAAACCTCGGTCTGGAAGGGCCCTTAGTGCTGCTTTTTGCCCAAAACCATGGGCAAATACAAGAAAAGAAGTAAAAAGTTGCACAGGGAAAAGAGGAAGGGAGAGGCAGTGGGTAGCAGACAGCTCAGGAAACAGCTGGTCTTTTTGCTACAAGGGATGGAGCAATGGGGACCCTCTGCAGCTTCCTCTCCTCTTGCAATAGGGCTGGGAAGCTACAGGAAAGCTGACATGGCTGATTGCGTAAGGATTAACATTGAACTCACATTTGGGGTGACTCAAGGAGCCAGACAGTTGCTCAACCCACTTGCAGAAGCTGTGTTTGAAGACCTGTCTATCATGGCATCCCCGAAGGATAATAGCTTTCACTGGGTGGGTGTTAGGTGGCCCTATTCATTCTCATATAAAACAATGAGAGGTTTTATGTATAATTTTTGCTAAATAAGATGAATTAGTCATGCACAGTTTAGTGACAGAATAAATGTTCTCCGTGTATGAAGCTTCTCCTTTGAAACCCGCCGCTTCCCCCAATATCTGCAGTTAAGGAATCTTGAATAGCATGGATGACGAAAAGACCTGGCCTAATTCCCTAGGGAGCTACATTTGAGAACTGCCTCCAGAGGAAGTTCAGATTGTTGGTCCATCGACCTCAGTATTGTTTGTTGGTCTTCAAGGTTGATCGGTCTCTGGAGTAGGATTCTTGCTTTGGGTTCAAGAGGGCCCTGGGTTTGGTTCCTAGACATTCCCATGAGGTCAGGAGAAAGAGCCAGGCTGGATCTACACTGACCTGTTTAACTGAGCTGGATGGACAGAGGGCCTGAGTCAGTGTAAGACAGCTGCCTTACGTTCCTGTTTAACTCAGACCTTTATTCAGAACGATGAGGACTAGAATCTCGCTTTATGTTTAGGGCCGTAGCTCATTGAAAGAGTGCATGATTTGCCGGCAGGAGGTTTCAGGTTCCATCCTGGCATCTCTAGGTGAGGCTGGAATGTCCCGTCCCAAAACCCTGGAGAGCTGCTGCTGTCAGCACAGATAATACGCAGCTAGATGGACCAAAGGTCTCAGTAAAAAGCAGCTTCCTAGGTTCCAAAAGTGTCCCCCCCTCAGCCCCCGCTATTTACAACACACATTATTTGCAAAAACAAGTGGCCAAGTGTGGCTTTTTTTATTTGTTTCTGAGAACTCTTTAAGTCTATTTGGATTAACGTGGCAAGGAAATACTCATTGCATTTCCCAGAGACAAATGGCTTTGGGCTACTTAGCATGTGCCATATATTTGGTGCGAATCCCATTTACTCTTCTGTTCTGAGCATCCCCTGTGTATGATGAAGTGGCTGTTGCTGAACCATTTGTGTCTCTCCTAATAGAGAAGTAACCATCTGTGATTCCTACAGGGTGGGAGGAGTAAAAGAGGGGGAGGCATTTGCCACCTCTGAACTAAGTGCCAGGACCTGGTTAAGGCCTGCCGAGATCCCAGCTATATCAAATTATATTAATGGTCCGCACAACAATAAAGATGTGCATTATTCCAACAGGAAGGACCATGAGAATAAGACAAAAAATTATATTTGCATATACAATATGCTGGTTCTTAGGTGAGGTTGCAGCTAAAAATGACTCAAGGGATAGCTCAGTTAGTAGAGCAATAAGACTCTTAATCTCTGGGTCATGAATTCAAGCCCCATGTTGGGCAAAAGATTCCTGCCTTGCAAAGGGCTGGACTAGATGTTGTTTGTGGTTCCTTCCAACTCTACAATTCTATGATTCTAAGGCTAACAATCTAGCTGTGTACACATTGTACCTTTAAAGCATGTATTCTCCCACCTCAAAGAATTCTGGGCCCTGTAGTTTACCCCTCATAGAGATGCAATTCCCAGAATTCTTTGAGGCAGTCAACTCAACCTTAGCCAGTGGTTGAAGTGGGAATCAAAGGCCATTGCAGGGGGGAGGGGGAAAGGGGCCTGCTCTGAATTATGCCAGTCAGATGCAGAGCCCAGGAGATTGCACCATTTCCTCCCTAGAGCTGGGAGGAGACCAGCAGAGCCTCCAATTCACCAAGAGGCCAAGGAGTGCTGTTGCTGCCACAATGGCAGCAGCAATGCATTCCTTGGAGGCTGGATCTGCGCTTTCAGATGGCAATGAATGTAATAACATTGGGGAAGCATTGCAGAACAACTAATAAAGGGGACTGGTGCATGGACATTTCGGTGCAAATCCACCACTATGCCCTATTAATGTGTTAATGACATGCCACACTGCTGCAGAATAAACCTGTGCGCACACACAGTCAGTCCCCATCAGTCTGGAAGGGCCCTAGACCCTAGGTTAGCAGTCATGAAATCTGACAAGCCAGTAAGCTTCCAATTCTGCCATGCTTAGCCAATGGATTAGTGGGTCTTACCGATGAGGTTCCACCAGTGACCTGCCATCCTTGCCTCTCCCCTGGACTCATCAGATTCCCCCAAGCTCTGCCCTGCTAGCCCTGAGATCAAAGGAAAGCCATCCTGTCCAAAGGCACCTCCCGAGTTTCTTGGCATTTCTTTCTGAAAAGGAAGCGGACATCAAGGTCCCGCGTCAGCCAAAACCCCTTTGGATTATTCCAAGCTGCCTAGAAGCGAAGGTGAATCCATGACACTGTGGTGACTTTTTCCAACCTCCCGCTGTCTCCTCCTTCCTATAACTGACCGCCTGGAGGGGAGTGCAAAGATACCCTTTTCCCTGGCAGAGTTTGCTTTGTTCTGTGGACGGCTGAGACCGTAAAGATAAGATTGCTGGCTCCTTTATTTTTTCCTGCTTTGTTTCCTTTTGGAACCTCAGCACACAAAAAATGAGAGCCCTTTGACAACATGCCCAGCAGAGTTTCCTTTTCCTGGTCGGGTCATTCCCACTTCAAGTGCTGCTGTCTAGAGTTTTGTCTTGGCTCTTGGCTGCACCTTCCTTGGGGCAGGTGCATTGGCCTGGCTTTCACATACGGAGTCTTTTGATGCTAGAACACAAAACTGAAATTCTTCCCCTGCTCATGCTTCCACGACTGTGAGTCACCTCTCTAGAGGCTCACTGTTGTTGCATGCCACCCCAGCCTCTGAGCAGTGCAAGATTCCTTGGCTTCCAGATACTTACCCAGGGTTAGTTTTCCTTGGAATGAGGGACAGCATAGGAAACCCCTTGCTGATAGCAATTTCCATTTAAATGGCATAAGGAATGGTAGCTCTCTGAGGGGAATAGGGGTCTCCTAATAACTGTCAGAACCCTTAACAAACTACAGTTCCTGGAATGCTTTAAGAGAAGCTATAGCTGTTAAAGTAGTATCATAGTGCTTTAAATATACAGTCATACCTCATGTTACGTTTGCTTCATGTTACGTCTTTTCAGGTTGCGTCCCGTGGCGACCTGGAAGTACCGGAAAGGGGTACTTCTGGGTTTCACCGCTCGCGCATGCGCAGAAGCGCCAAATCGTGCCACGCACATGCAGTGGCGTAGCGTGGGGGGTGCAGGGGGGGCCAGCCGCACCGGGCGCAACATCTGGGGTTAGGGCAAATCCACAGGTTAGGGGGTGCAAATCCACAGGTTAGGGGGCGCAAATTACTTGCCTTGCCCCGGGTGCTGACAACCCACGCTACGCCACTGCGCACATGCGCAGATACGGTGCTTCAGGTTGCGGGCTTTTCATGTTGCGAATGGGCCTCTGGAACTGATCCCGTTTGCAACCAGAGGTACCACTGCACTGTGTGGACATAGCCTGAGTCAAAACATTGCAATTCACCGAATCAGTTATATGTCCACAGTGTATCAACACCAACAACTGCTCACCTCATTCAACAAAAATCATTCACTGCTAGGATTATTATTGTTAGTCACCAGCTGTTCCATTCTTTCTAGAGTCATTTCCTCTGACAGATATTATTTCACTAATTGACCACATTCTCTGCTTCTAGGGCAACTGTTGACCTGTTGATACCCACCCACTCCTCTATTCACAGAAAAGGAATTTTCCTAATCTTCACAGCGTGAGTGAACTTTTAATGACAGGAAGTAAGAAGCAGGAAGTTGGTTACAAGCGCTGCCATAGGAGTTCAGCTGCGGATTCTGAAGAAGCCAGCCAAAACCTAGAGTGGTAAAACCACCAACTTAACCTATTGCCCAGTTCAGGGCAAAGCTCTGGCAACCATCCCAACTTCCCAGAGATACCTTGACATCGCAAAGTCTCCTCACAACTCTCCTTCTGAAACTGAAGGTTGCTCATTATCCCAGTACTGTGGACATAAAATGAGGCCTCTGTCTCCCGGAGAAGGACTTTCCCCTCTTGGGCTGCTCAACCGAGGGCCCGACTACCTCCGTAAGCAGCTGGAGGGGAGTACCGGGGGGCGGACCCCAAGTGCCGTGGAAAGGCTGGAGGCCGATAAAGCCAAATACGTCAAATCCCAACAAGTCATCAACAGTCGCCAAGAGCCAGTGCTGCTCTGCTACACCTTCCAGTCGCCTGCATGTGGCAGAAGAGCCTTGACCCTCCACCAGCAAGGCGAGTTCTCTCAGGTAGGCCAAGATGGCCTTGGGCCCAAGAAGCTGCCTCCTTCTCCTCAGTCGCCCATAGCACGGAGAGGGGGTGGCAGGCGCATGCTGAGGCCCGATTCGCTTGTCATCTACCGGCAGAAACGGGACTGTTCGGCTGTCAACAAGGAGAACACCAAAGGCTACAGCCTAGTGAGGCGGCTGTTTCAAGGCCCGTTGAGAGATGGGCATGGTGCCTCCCCTTCCTCTAGAGGCTTGTTGGGAGATGGACAGCTACAAGTCACGCAGGAAGAAACCTCCATGGTCTGGGTGCCGGCAGAAAAGGAGGAAACAAGGACCATAAGTTCAGTAGGCATTCTAATGAGGACGTCCGTGAGACACGGTTCTGAACGAAGCCTGGGACACCAGCCCAGCTCCCAGCTGGTTATGGACCAAACCTCTTCTCCCACGAGCCCAGAACCATCTGACTCCAAGAAAGAGCTGGCACCAAGCTCTTATTCTCTCCCTCTCTCGGAGAAAGAGCGTTTTTTTAACTACTGCGGCTTGGACCAGAACCTGGTGGAGAAGCTGGGAGCTGAGCGATTCAAGCCGGGGAGCTGGGAATTGGGGTCCTCCTGTGTGGTCCTGGGGAGCGTGGGGTCAGCCAGTTCTGAGCATGACTGTCTCTCACTCAACGAAGAGGAGCTGTCTGTGGAAGAGCTGAGCGAGAAGCCACTCACGTCGGTCTCTGTCATTGAGCGAAACGCCCGTGTCATTAAATGGCTGTACAGCTGCCAGCAGGCCCTGTCTGTGGCCAAGGAGTCCACTGTGTGAATGGAAACATGGTCTCAAGTGCAATTCTTATCACAGGAACGGGAGGGCCAGGCGGCTGGGCCTCACTGTTCCTGTAACCTTGCAAGAGCCAGTCATGTGCCTAAGTGAGGGTCCAGTTCTTGCCATCTTGATGATGGCAACATTCCCATCATGGGAAGCCAAGCAGGGAGTGTCTCTCACCATGGAATTATGGCAATTGGTGTATGATGGGTGCTGTTTAAAACTGTTATGTAGTGTAGTTTCACCCTGGGCCAACAGGGGGATACTGTATATAGTTTTCACTCAGGTCTGTAGATAGTTTTCACTCAGGTCCGCGGCAGTTATTTTAGGCGGGAACTCTGGGCTGTTGTGGTTACAATGTTGACAGCCGGCTGCCTATAAATACAGGCCGGCTGAGCTGTCGCAGTCAGTTGTATTCCAGCTTACCATAATAAAGAGCTACTTGAAGAAATCGCTGTGCCGGCTGCTATGTCAACCCACGACTTAACCCTGGCGACGAAGGTGGGATTGATGGACATCAGAGCACAGCCAGATGCGGCCAGCCTCTGAACTGAGCTGAATCACTGAGCTGAATCACAGAGCGAAATCACTGAGCGAAATCACTGGGCAGAACCAATTCAGAGCTGACTGTTCTGGCTAGAGCACTGTGTTCCATCCATCGCCCTTCACGCCGGCATCGGAATCATGGCTTCACTTGTGCCTCTACAGCTCAGTTCAGAGGCTGGCCGCATCTGGCTGTGCTCTGATGTCCATCAGGAACGGGAGGGCCAGGCGGCTGGGCCTCACTGTTCCTGTAACCTTGCAAGAGCCAGTCATGTGCCTAAGTGAGGGTCCAGTTCTTGCCATCTTGATGATGGCAACATTCCCATCATGGGAAGCCAAGCAGGGAGTGTCTCTCACCATGGAATTATGGCAATTGGTGTATGATGGGTGCTGTTTAAAACAGTCCTGTATTGCCTGTATGCAAATATGCCTGTGAGGTAGAAAGGGATACACATGTCAGGACCAACGTGATTTTCAACTAAGGCCTAAATTATGAGGGCAAAATTTGGGGGTTTGGGACAAATAATTTTCTTCCTCTCTTTCCCCACTATGAGTAGTGGTGACCAGGATATAAAGTATACGTTCTACAGCAGCGATGGGGAACCTGTGGTTCCCCAGATATTGCTGGACTACATTTCCCATCATTCCTGACTCTTGGCTATGTGGACTAAGGTTGATAGGAGTTGGAGTTCAATGATACCTGGAGAGCCACAAGTTGCAGGAATATGAGTAAATATTCCCCTCCCACAGTTATCAACAGCGAGCATGGTGTAGGGGGTTAGAGTGTTGGACAGGGAAGGCTTGGGTTCAAATCCCCCATGAACGTGCCTGGGAGACCCTGAGCCAGTCATACGCATTTTTGTCTAGCCTACCTCACAGGGTTGTTAGGAAGATACAACCAGAGCACCTCATGGGATAACCCCAAAGTTCTGTGGAGGGGTGTGATGCAAAGGTGATCAACAGGAGATCATTAGTGTTACAAAGCACTTCTCAGGCTTAGCCCTTCTATGTTTTCAAGCAACAAGCTGCCAGAGAACCACCACTGTGGCTAGTGGGGTGTATACAAGCCCCAGTCCAGACTGTGTGGTTTTCATGCAGTCTGGGAGAAATATTTTGTGGTTGCCAGGCCCTTGACTCTACTGAGCCATTCTGTGAAATGTAAGCAGGAAGAACAGGAACAATTTCTGAACTGGCACAATCTCTAGGGCAGGCCTCCAGTGCTGCATCCAATTCTGTTTCCTTCTGTGCCTTCCTTCCTCAGACATTCTCCAGATATTCAAAGCAAAACCCATGTTTGTATCTCTTGTTTTCAGAACTAGCTTTGGTAGCTCAGGATGATGGGATTAGCTTTATGAATGGGTATTAATAGAAGCGCTCAACCTTTTTCTCAATGATCGGCCATGAACATAAGAAGTGTCCTGCTGGATCAGGCCAATGGCCAAGTAGTCCAGCATCCTGTTCTCACAGTGGCCAACCAGGTGTCTCCATGGGAAGCCCACAAGCAGGGCCTGAGCACAACATCACTCTCCCCAGTTGTGATTCCCAGCAACTCGTATTCAGAGGCGGACTGCTTCCAACAGTGCAAAGCAGAACAAAGTCCTTGTTGATCCGAAACTGATGGGTCCTCTTGAGGGCCAGCTAACATCTTATTTACAATTAAGAAATGTTACCTCTGTCCCCGAATTCTTAATAAAAGTGAAGCTTTTTGAAGAATCGCTCCATGTCGAAGGTTTCTGTCATAACTTATAGAATCAAAGAATTGCAGGGTTTGAAGGAATCCCAAGGGTCATCTATTTCCAATCATCTCCTTCAATTATGGGTTCCTCAGCTCCAGCATCTCTCTATGAAGCTTGAGTGAAACAGTTAGGACAGCTGCTAGGTTGTCTTTGGTCAAGGGATTGGGTTCAAAAAGGCAACATCCTGCGCTGTAGTTGGGGACATCAGGCTACTATTAAGGGTTGTCAACCCTTCAGGGCCAGGAGGTGCATTTGGAATTTTGAGCAAGTGTCATGGGTGCCCATCACAAAATGGCTGCTGTGAGGCGTGGCAGAACACAAAATGGCTACCCCATCTGAAAGCACAGAAAATGAGGCTAGACCACAAAATAATGAGGCAACTCCCATTAGCTGGCACTTCAGAGAGGGAAAGGTACCTATGCTGCCCACTGCCACATATGACCACAGAGAGGAGCTCTTTGTACCTCTTCTCTTTTCATAATGGTTAGGAAAGTAGACAGTGAAATGTGGACCTGCTTCAGGGAGCGTTTTCATTGTAGGTGGGGCTGATCCAGTGCAAATAGGAACTGAGCAGGAAGAGCAAGGGGTCTCTTGTGCACTGTGGGGTTCTGAGGGGATAGTTACTGAAACCTTTTGTGGTCACCATAGGCAGTACTGGTGGGTACCTTGCCATCCATGAGTATCATGCTGGTGTCTCTCCACAGCTAGTTTAATGGCAGGACATGCGACATGCAGGGTTTTATACACTCTGACACCTGACTGACACTCCTCAGCATCTGCCCTCCCCCCCCCCCCGAGGCAGCTGCCTCATTTTGCCCAATGGTTGGGCTGGCCATGGGCTTCCTTTGAAAAGTGTGTAAATGTGGATGCCGTTGTAAAAGTTCAGCACCCTAAGAGTTCCACAGCCTCTCTGATTATGGCCAAACTAGGGGATATATGAAACGTGCGATTACGTTTCACGTTATCTGTCGCTGGTGGTTGTTTTCAAATAGCAGCTACAGGAGGGCTCTGGTGATCAAGACCACAGAGAGGGAGGGTTTAACCTTTTCCACCCTGTACCGTGTTTCCAACAAAACTAACCCCTTCATGCTGATGCTGTTCACTCCAGAAGTAAGCAGTGGTAACGTTCCATCCAGATGAATAGAAGTTTTGCAGGGAATGTGGGGATTTTCATGAGACCGCAGCATGGGGAGGAGGAAAGGTTTGGTGGTCCCAAGTCTCATTGTGTTAGGCTCTGCCTCCATTTATTTATTTCTTAAGACCGTATGTGCTATGTAACAAACCTGGGTTTGCTGCCATGTAATGCATGGAAAGTTACAAATAGAGTGGAATCTACACACATTGTTAAAAAACATTGTGAACATGTTTTTTTAAAAACCGTTTTGAAAAATGCATTGAATTTGCTATAGCTCACAGTCGCCATCTAGTGTCACAATTGTATATTGAACTTTACAACACATTCAAAACATTTTATTTTCAGCTGTATAGCTGAGTCCTAGGTGTTCCTCTTTTGCTTCCCGAGACTGTACAAATACTGCCACCTTGTGGCAGCCCTAGGAATACAGGAAGATCATCTTATGTCAAGACTGTACCTGCCTTTACTTGGGAGACTAGCAGGATTCTCTTCAAATCCACCTCCTGAGAATCTTGGATTTCATGTTAAAACAAACCCAGGTTTCTAGCCCTCATAATTAGTAGAAGCAGACTAAATTACACAGACTAAATTATTCAGGAGAAAGTTGGAAGAGATTAAATTCAAAAATTTGCCAGAAAATTATTTTCTGCTAAATTTCAGCACAGCCCTAAAAGCACAAGCACAACCTGATCCATTCCACCCTGAACCTTTTACTTCAATACCCTGTGATTGGTTTCCTCTTGCTTTCAGATGCACCCCTAATCTTCAGCTACAACTGAAGTTGAATTCAACCTCTTCCATCTTTCTCCTGAATAGCTGGGGGACATTCAGTGGAATGGTGCCTGCAACTTTGTCATCCATGTATTTTGGATGCAACTGCGGATCCAGTCTTAAAGTGGTTTAACTGGCCAGTCTCCACTGGATATGGGAGGCCCCCTCTCTCATTGTCTGTTGATTCTCATACCCAGTGGAGACTGGCCACAGAGCAAATGGGGCAGCCAGCACCAAAGTGCCCTGGTGGAACTCAGCAGGGAGGCGGATGGGGACAAAACCAAAATCAGTTGGCATTGCCTGTCATTGACTTTGGCTCCCCCTACTGTTGGGCTCCCCACCTTCCACCCAATGGGCACCAGCCCGCCACTGCTCATCCACCAAAAAGAACATAGAACAACACAGGAAGCTGTCTTATACGGAGTCGGGCTTCTTGGTCCATATAGCTCAGTATTTACATTGACTGGCAGCAGCACTTCCAGGCAGGGGACAATTCCCGTTCCTAACAGCAGAATTTTGTTCAACATCAAGTGAGCCAAAATTTCCCAGAAGATAGATATTGGGAAAATTGGGAAAATTTAATCTCCCCATTCCAATAATATGCATCAACAATCCGCACTCTCAAAATTTGTTGACCATGAATGGCACGGAGAATTTTAAGAGATCATTTTTGCTCATTCCTGTTTATTATTATTATTATTATTATTATTATTATTATTATTATACAGTTGTCAATGAAAATCCAAAGAAAGATACTGCAAATAAGAGGGTCACCATGAACGGTCAAGGTAGACATGCCCCCTTTCTGCTCAGCATGTGGGCCAGAACCCAGGGAAGGCTGCTGAACTGCCCCCCCTCACCCAGTCGCCAGCTGGTAACAAGGCAGCAAAAGGGCACCCCAAACCCAAAGGCCCTTCCTTGCTGGATAATGGAGCCAGCACTGATGGAGATACTTTGTGAAAGGAGAGTTGGATAATAGAGCATCTTCAGTGATGGACTCAAGAATGCAAAGCCAATGCTCTCTCGGGGCTTATCCATATTTACTTTTTCCCTCGCTTTTTCCAGGCATAGGTCCACAATTGAAATCTCTACATCCAAGCACATATGTAAGCATGAGCTTTCTCCTGTGAAAAGCCGCTCTTTAGTGCTCAATCAGAGCAAATGTCAATTTGGGTTTTCCATGGATTGGCGTTTGCTCCGACCAAGCTTTAAAGAGTGGGTTTTCTCAAAGCACCGGAGCAAAAAGAAGCGTGCTCAGACACAGAGCTTTAAAGCACAGACCGTGCATGGAAAGACTAGAGAAATGGTAAGTGTAGATAAACCCTGAGTCTTCCCTTGGTGACTTTCTGTTCCCTTGGAACTGGGCTGGGGAACCCATGGCCCTCCTGCTGTTGTTGGACTCCAGCTCCCATCAGCCCCTGCTAACATGGTCAATGATCAGGAATGACGGGAGCTGCAGTCCAACAACATCAGTTAAAAGAGGAAACTTTGGTAACTGAAGAATATCTGCTCCTGGGGCAACTGGGGAAGTTCTCGTATGAAACTGCCTCATACTGAATCAGGCCATTAACCGGTCCAATCCAGTACTGTCTACTCTGATTGGCAGTGGCTCCCAGGTTTCAGGCAAAGCTCTCTTCTGCATCACCTGGTTCTTTGAAACGGGTTGAACCTGGGACCTTCTGTGTGTACAAAGTTGATGCTCTACCACTGATCTACTGGTCATTTCAAAGCCATGTCCCTAAGGCAGGAGTGGCTAAAATGGTCCTCCAGATGTTGCTGGACCCAAATTCCCAGCAGCCTAGGTAACCAGCATGTCCAACGGTCAGGGACAATGGGGCTGCATTCCAACAACCTCTGCAAGGCCACAGGTTCCCCATCCCTGCTGCCAAAGGAAAACCTTACCAGGAGAGAAAATGTGGTATAGGGATGGACAAACCAACGAACCTAAGTTCCTTGATGTGAGCGGTAGTCCTAGGCTGTCAATAGGCTATGGATTAAGTGTCACAATCCCAGAGTCCAGGAGTAACCAGGACAGTGCGTTGGAAGCTGCAGTGTCACTGGTTAAGATGTTGCATTCCTGGCTCTGACTCTGATGCTGGTGATCAGCAGCTGACAGAAGCTGAACCTGAATCTCCTTGGGCGCCTTCCTGTAGGCTCAAGGAACCAAGTGCCGCCCAAACTGCCTTGTCCATTCCATGGTGCAGGGAGTGTGGCAGGCAAGAGTCCGTGGAATGCAGAAGATGTGCCCGTCTTTAGGAGGCTCTAGCTCCCCACAAGGGGATGAAGCCCAAGAAAAATGGGCTGGAGGCACTTCCAGCCCTTGTCAGGGCAAGTTGCTCACTAGAGGTTTGCCTTGAGTTGTGTGACTGGAGCATGATGATAGCCATAGCAAGATCTGCACCCCCAATCCTCCACTGTTCTAGATTGCGAGTGTGTATCTAGTGCAGGCATAGGCAAACTCCGGCCCTCCAGATGTTTGGGACTACAATTCCCATCATCCCTAGCTAACAGAACCAGTGGTCAGGGATGATGGGAATTATAGTCCCAAACATCTGGAGGGCTGGAGTTTGCCTATGCCTGATCTAGTGTAAGGCCCCCATAGAGAAAGGGTCTCCATCTGGGGTTTTCAGTGATCAGCCCCTGGTCAGTCTCACCTGGCTCTTTTTAGACTATGTTCCTGCGTCTTGCCCAGTTGGGCTGATAGCCAGATCCTCCTAGGCTAGGAACATGGGAAGCTGATTTATACCAGATCAGACCATCTAAATGTCGGAGCCAAGCAGCCTATATCTTAGGAAGCTGCCTTCTAGCAAGTCAGGTCATTGGCTCACCTGGTTCAGTATTGTCTACACTGACTGGCAGCAGCTCCCTGCAATTTCAGGAAGGTTTCTCTCCCAGCTCCACCTGGAGCTGCGGGGGGGGGGGGTTTGAACCCAGGACCTTCTGCATGCAAAGCAGGTGCTCTACCACTGAGCTAAGGCCCTTTTGCTTAAGAGAGGGGGCTCCTGGGATTTGAACACCACTTCAACTGCAAGGCCAGCCTGTCAGTGTTGGGGCACCATTGCTGGTCCCATTAGGAAGGGTCTTGATGCAAGGATTTGTTTATTTCCTACTGAAAACCCCTGTAGCCCGGTCATCCTCCAAGGACAAAATGCATGGAGCTATCCCATTCAGTCCTCGTAAGAACTCTACAAGGGAGGTTAGACTGAGAGATGGTCACTTGCCCACAGCTTCTGTGGCTGATCTGGGATTTGAACCCAGGTCTTCTCAGTCTACCCAATGTACCATTTTGACTCAGGATCCCCTGCTGCCTCCTCCACACTTTGATTGGACGCTTGGGTGATCAGCACTCAGGAGGAGGAAGCTTCCTTAGAAAACACACAGGAGTGTCGTCAAACCATGCAAGCCTGGAAAACAATGAGACTGTCCAACCTCTCTCCCTGCTGGGCAGAAAACCTCTGGTAGAAGCTTCAACCTGTCTATTTTTTATCTCAAGAAAACAATGTTCAGAGAAGGGGAGAGATGGAATGGATATGGTTTGATACATGAGACACACACATTTGGGGCATCCTAATGTTTTGAGGGTTAAATAACACTGAGCTCTGGCCCTGGGACTTTCATGTCATCTCTGACTGTTCTGTCAAAGATTCCTGGAGAAACGGGGGTGCGGGGAGGCTAAAAATGCTTGCCCTGCATGGATATAGGTTGTCTCTTATGTCACAAAGTCCATTTCTTTCACGTTCATTCCTAGTTGCTCTTAGAGGCACTTTTGTTCTTTATCTCTGCCAGCTTGCTGGTCAGGAAGCTCCACTTGAAGGCCACCCCTTCAGCTTCTCGAAGGTCGTTGTCCAGGCTGGTGCAGCTGGCTTCCTCAGCCGCCATTTCTCCCGATGCCCCGATGCCCTCAGACATCTGGTCTCCACTCTCAGCCTTCGAGGCTGCCTTTTCCAGAGCTGAAGTTTGCTGCCACTTTGTGGCAAAGACGTCCCAAAGGCCAGATGTCTTCTTTTCAGAAGGGGAGTCCTCTTCTGGCCTGGCTGCCAGTGGGCTGTGAAAGCAAGAGGAGAATTTAGGAAGGAAAGAGGTGCAGGCAGTGGCTTTGAATGAACTGGCTCAGATTAGCTAATTCACATAATTCTAAAATCTCTGAATTATGCAAAATGACTGTGAATTAAGTTCCAGTGGAACTTTGGGCATTTTTTTATTCAGTTCAGTTGAATCCTGCCCCCAAAGCACAATTCCCAGAGTTTCCTGGGAATATGGACAGATTGTTAAACTACTCTGCAAACTGTAGCTGTGTGAAAGGAATAGGGGTCCCCCCAAAATATCTCAGCACCCTTAGTTACCAGGATTCTTTGGGGAAGCCATGACTGTTTAAAGAGGTATGGTTGTGCTTTAAGTGTGTAGTACAGAAGGGGCCTGACTTTCAGATAGGAAGTCTTGCTCAGCCCTACCTGGAGAATGAACCTGGTAAAACAAATGGAATGGACCTGGACCTGGACCTGGACCTGGACCTTTTGCATGCGAAGTCTGTGTTCTGACACTGAGCTAGGGTCCCTTCCGATAAGAATGTTTCAGAAGCGTTGCTGGTTCTGCAGCAGAAAGCTACCTATGCCTTTGTGGCATTCTGTCTAGAATAGAGGTGGGGAACCTCTGGCCCATGGGCTGAATTAGGCCCGGAAGACCATTTTCCCCAAGCCGCACCCACCTGCTAATCACCCAGATTGGGAGGTCTTGTGCAACCAACCTGCTTCCCCTAAGGATCAGACATTTTGCAGTAAGGAAAGTTATGGGGAAATGCACTGGAAAGTGTGGGATAACACTTCCTTGGGTGCAATTTATTAATGCATGCTCAATTAACAGATTCTCAGGAAGCACCCAAAAGGTGGTTTCTAGAAAGGAGCAAGGATGATGCTGCCCCAGCACTTTCCTTTCCACATTCTCTCTCTTCTTCTTTTCTTTTCTTTTTTTGAGATTATGTCTTTATTGTTTTAAAATAAATACTTTATAGAAAGAAAAAAGAAAAGCAAACAAACTATAGAAAAAACAAACAACAATATAAGAAACAACAACAATAATAATATAACAAACATAATTTATACACCCAACAATGCAAATAATTATGAAACTTGTGAAGAGAAAAATTAAAAGTGACTTCTAATTAGTCTCACTGTACTTTATCTATTGATTACCTTATACTGCACAGTTACATATTTCTTATATAGTTTCTTTTTACATCCCTGCGAACTTATATTTATACAATACAAGGGTCAGTCTAGTTCTGCCAAGAGGTTTCCTTTTATACCATAATTTTTAAAGTATTCTTTAAAAATTCTCCATTCCTTATAGACTATTTGTTTTTATCCTTCCTGTCGCCTTTGCTAGCTGCAGGTATTCTACCATTAGGATTTGTCAATCTGCCATGATAGGTATTGTTGTATTTTTCCAGTTTCTTGCTACTAAAATTCTGGTAGGCAAGAGAGCAGCCAACCCTGGGAGGTTTTTTAAAAAAGGGAAAGGAAACAGTACTGTTATTTTCTTGTTCCTCAAAACATGGCCATGAGTGTGTGAGTAGGTGGTGGCTCCCTCCTAGCCCAGGGTGTGGGGCAATTTGAGGGCTGGATGGAGGTTCTCCTGCCACGAGAGCCTGTTGTGGCTGTGAGAACCAGCAGCCACTCTAGGCACTCAGAGGCTTCTGTGGATATGCTGCAGTGGGAAGTTCTCTGACCCTTCCAGCCAAACTACCATGGAAGAGTTGTGATTCTCATGTGATAAACAAAGTCTTGTGAACTAGCTGGTCCTTTGAGAAAGACACATTGGGGAGGGGAGGGGTAGAATTAGGGAAGGATTTCACTTACTGGTCAGGACAAGGCTCAGGAGCCAGCAATTTATGTTCGTCTTCCCGGCTGAACAAAGATGAGACACTTCTCCAGCCTTTGACTCCAACTCCTTGGACCTGCAGAGGAAGATGGGAGAAGAGGGAGGGAGATCAGGGTCTACTAGCCACACCCAGGGCCATAGAATCATAGAATCATAGAGTTGGAAGAGACCACAAGGGCCATCGAGTCCAACCCCCTGCCAAGCAAGATAGTGTTACGTGCTAGATAGTGGGAAATCCCTGGCCCTTTCCCTGAAGTTTTAGCTTTCATTTAAAAACAAAAAGTCAGTCTTTATTCCTTTTTACATGTGGAGCTGAAACGAAAGGAACAGAGTGCTGTGAGTATTCAACCCAATTGCTTAGCGTGAAGTGCTCCTGTACTCTGGCTGCAGTCTATTGCTTTCGCTGTGTGCAAAGCACTGATGAGTGACAAGCCTGTGGACACTTACTAAACTTATTATGCTGCTGACTTGTAGTGGGTGGCTGGCTGCTTTCCATTGAGAGCCCCTCCCCTGGCCCAGTATTTTGCCCCATTTCCCCAACACGTTGACCACACATTCATATTTCTGTCTGCAGTCTCATTAGCTCTCCCAGGAAACAACAGGCAATTGAAATTATTTTACAAGATCATGACTCAGTGGAGCTCCACTCAGTGGACCTCAGTTTAGATACGTTTCACACCGTATTTAGTGGTTCTCATGTGGTCTTTTCAGGAGGATGCACTCAACATTTTTGCCCTCATCTAAATTTTGCTATACAGTTACATATGTAATTTAATATGTCTTTAAATATAGTTTCTCATAATTACTGTTAGTATTATTTTAAATGCTGATACATGCAGAAATGGGGTAGGGTGGAATTATGAACGAACAGATAAGCAATTGACACTCACTGAAAATAAGTTGACCCCCACCCCATATGTAAAAGTCATATGCTGATGCATACTAAACACAGCCTGTTTGGGGTGTATGTGCCAGTAAACACCTCATTTTTGCTAATTGCCTGCAGCAGAGGTTGGTTCTTTGGGGTGAATGGGGCATTGCCTCACCAACCTCAGTCTGCCCTCAGCATTCTCACCTACAAATCAGTCCATTGAGTGGCATCAGTCACTAGTTTCAGCGTTGCTGGTAGAACTCTGCAGGAAGGAGGATGGGGACATTGTCTATGGTGCCACCTACTGTTAGCTCCCTGCCTTCTGTGCAACCAGCCCCAATGGGCACCCACCAACACAAGTTACCTGAGACCTGTCAGTCACTCAGCAAACCACACAATACAGCATTAGTGGGTTGATTGGCTGAGACAAGCATTATGCTCCGGGGTCTAATAAGGCTGCCACCTAATGCAGCTCCAAGCTCAAAAGCAACTTGAGTTCTGGAGAGAAATAACTACTGGTCCTTACCCGCCGTGCCAGCTGAGAAACAGGATTTGACCCCTCCTCTGTCAGCAGGGTTGAGTCTGTGGTTTCCATCAGTTCAGGGTTATCTCTCTGAAACAAGAAATCAGCTTCAGGAGTGCTGGAGGAGACTTGATGGAATAGTCCAGGTGTAGCCCTTTTGGACTACGCTCTACGGCAGTGTGGAAAAAGCTTTTTTCCTGCTGGAGGCCTGAACTGAAGGGGGATTGATTATTAAACCACTCTGTACATTGTAGCTCTGTGCACCCTTAACAAACTACAGTTCCTAGTATTCTCTGATAAAGTGGTATAATAGTGCTTTAAATGTATGTTATGGGTGTGGCCTCCTATTCTCCCTCTGCCGCCTGTGTTTGCCAGTCTCCCTCTACCAGTTTCATAATGTAGTTTCTGCCCTACCACAGTCAATTTCCTTTCTAGTAAAGCCTTAGCTTTTTGTCAACTAATCCATTAAATAAATCACTTAAAACATTTCAATCAGCTAAAAAAAGGGGGGGGAATTATCAGCCAGCAGGTGTTTATTTACTTATTGGTAAACATTTCCAATACAAGCTCTTTTACACACACACACACACACACACACACACGATGGCAAACTCCATCTTAGAAAGAAGCATTCTGTCATGTATGAGAATGAATGGGAATGCCTCCCCTCAGACAATGGCTTTTATGTACAAGACAGACTCATCTGTGTCATCTGAAAACAAAGAATGGACTCTTTTCTTTCTTTAGAATCCACCCCCCCATCACATTTCTTAGATTTAAATAGCCAGCCTTCCCCAACCTTGTGCCCTCTGGATGTCACTGGGCTGTCAACTTCCATTTACCTCAGCCAGCATAACAAATGGTATGGGATGATGAAGTCCAGCACAACACCTGGAGAGTGCCAGGTTAATGAATAAAGGGATCAACTAAAATGCATGTGATCACGAGTTTTCTTTAACCAGGGGGCATGACCCCTCTTCATAGACATCTTATTCTTCCCCATAAATCAGGCACAGAGAACCTATGGCCTTTCAGATGGACTACAACTCCCATCATCCTTTGTCTGTGCTGGCTAGGGCTGATGGGAGCTGGAGTCCAGCAACATCTGGAGGGCCTTAGGTTCCCCTTGCCTGCCATAAATTAAGAGAGGGCAACCCATTGCCTGCTGCTACCCCACGCTCAATGACCGAAGGAGGGGAAAGGGCCCAGCTGAGGATGCCTCTACCTCATCCTGGAGTTCCTCTTCCGGCAGCTCTCCGCCAAGGGTCTGTAGAACTTTGGCCTTGTAGACCTTCCAGAATCCCTGAGTCATCCTGGCCCCGCTCACTCTCAGGTTCTTCTCCCAGGAGCTAGAGCGTCTCACAGTAAGTAAGCCCCTGAGATCCCGGCAGTTTGGAAGCCTGGGGGCTTACAGTCCCCACTTTGGATTCTCTTCCAAGTCTAAGCGGGTCAGGTTCCGGTTGCCATTGGGCCTCTGTGCCCAGCTGCTTCAGAGACTCTGCAGGGAACCAGGAGCTCAGGCAGATGCTTGTGCGCCCTGCAAATTCACACCTGTCACTGGCTGCCTCTTTCTCGGATCTGGTGTCTTCATTAAAATTTCAGAAGCTTCCAATGTACATCTCAAAGAACTGAGAGGAATCGGATCCATGACTGACCCAGAATACCAATGAATTCCGTCAATGAAGGCCCCTGGAACAGATGAAAGTGCAGTGGACACGGATCCCAACAATCTGACTCCTCCGATCACCCTTTATGCATCCTATCTCCAGCCTCTTTTGCCAAAAAGACCCGCTGGACTTCTTTCAATTCCAGATTTGAGACGTGAATCTTTGTTAGCTAGTTCTCTCACTAACATTGAACTTAGTACCTGCACCCTTGCTTGGTGTAGAGTCCTCTCTTATTCAGAAGAGTGATGTGCTCCCCTCACAGCTCCTGAGTCCCCCTACCACCCCCATGCAGAATCTTCTACTTTCAAGTCTTGAGGAAAGCCTCATTCTGGCAACGCTACGCTCTTATATTACTCTCCATTGTCTGAGTCCTGTAACTGATCTCCAGCAAAAAAAAGGACTTTGGAATGCGGTAGCTCAGCAACAGGCTCTCAAAATAGTGTCTGGCAGCTAAATTATTTCTTAGGGCTGATAGCCTCGCAGACCTGTGTCGTCTTCTCCTTTGCAGATTTAGTTTCTGCCTTAAACAGGAAGCTTCGACTCCTGCCCCAGAACAGCTTCGTGCAAGTTGCAAACAAGGGGCGCGGGTTCTTTGCTCGCTGTTAAAACTACCAAGCTCTCCTAGCTCCTTCACCCCCAACTCATGCTCCGATTGTAGAAGCGATGAAAGGATGGGTTGTCTTTCCATTGCCCATCTTTCTTCTCCCCGCGGCTAATGACAGATGCCTGTCTGCTGCCTTTACATGCCTGTAAATGTATTATTGATTTCCCGGCCTGGTGCAAGTAACGTGATCGCGAGTAGTTCACTGACTGGCGGTTGTTCCTTTGTCCTGCTCTGACAGCCGCATCCTAAATGCACAAATCCATATTGGCTACGCTTGATGCTGCCGATAATGCTCCACTGTGTGCCTCTCCCCGAGCTGAGTTGCGCTGGGAACAGTAGTGCTCAGGGCAGTGTGGTGACCCACAGAGTTCTCGTTCTTCAAGGATCACTCAAAGTGAAACTACTGTTGCTGTGTGAGTGCTTAATTCAGGAGGAAAAAAATATGGCAGGGGTCAGATTTGTGCTTACAAATCACATCCTGTGTGTTAGAACTGGACACACAATGCTGTTCATAAACTCACAACGAGCCCGTACTTGAACAAAGGTTCTTCATCTAGGGTTGACTCTGGGCTCAAGGGAACTCTCAGCATAGTACCTACATAGAAACATAGGGAGCTGCCTTATACTAAGTCAGACCATTGATCCACCTAGCTCAGCATTGTCTAACAATGACTCATCAGGGTTTCAGACAGGGGACATTCCCAGAGACCGAACCTGGGACCTTCTATATGCAAAGCAGATGCTCTACCACCACTGAGCTGTGGCCAAGTGACAGTGTGGATGGGCTTATCCAGAAAGGTTGGTGCTCCCTTGGCTGGTAGAGGCCAGGTGGGCACTATAGGTCGTATCCATATTAGTGTTACTCAAAGTTGCCCTGTTGAAATTAATGGACCTGACTAACTTCTTGCCATCATGGCATGGCCGTTTCCAAAAGAAATCAAGGGGAGGGGGGCTTTCTGACCTTCACAGTTGAGGTATAAAAGATTGATGGGGGATTTGCTAGGTACAAAAGTAATTAGATTTGATGATACTTTGGGTATTTTAAATTGACCTACTGGTGAGTGTTATGCTCACTTAAATTCCGATGTGTTAAGTGAACTGTTAATTAAAAAAAAAAAATGCAACACAGTTGGGGAAAATTTATAGATAAGCTATTCAATAGCTGCTATGCAGCTTCCTGTACCAGGCAGGTTCTGTTCTAAGAAAATTCAGATACTGTATGGTAGAAAAAGTAATAAATTTTTCACCACAAAACTAATGGTTACCACCACCAGTTAAAGTTATACACGAAATATATCTAAGTGAACTGTTAATTGTTGATTTATTTAGCTTTACTGTTGTGGTGGTATTATATTAATAATTTTAATAATTTTATTATTTATCCCCTGCCCATCTAGCTGGTTTGCCCCAGACACTCTATTGTTATAGGTTTGTGAGTGCTAAATCCCTGGGCTCAGTACCATCTGGAGGGCACCACATTGGCTATCCCTGTTTAACCCATGGGAAAGTGCATTACATTTCCCTCCTACGCAGCCCAGCTCAACCTTTATTACATGTCTCTCACACTGCAACATCTTCCCTAGTTAATTTTTGGGGTGGGGAACCAATCCAGGATGGATTTAGGGTGTGTTCACATTACTGCCTCTGAGCACAGTGACACTGCTGTTTTTTCGGTGTGTTTCACAGTTCTTTCTGCACCTAGGTGTTCACATCAACAGGACTTCATTAGTGTCAGAATGAATTCTCAAGTAATTGACTGCAGTAATTATACATAGACATTAACTACTTTTTACTCTGTGTTTCATCTATAGATTGTAGTTACAAATATGCCATTTTGTGATAACTGCTGTTGTCAAACAGGAGAATGAATTAGCAAGCAAATCAATAAACATCATTTGTTTAACTTCACTACTGGGGAAGCCCAAAGAAACTATGGAATGCTGATTCCTCAGTGTCCCAGCACCATCAGTGGGACCTTGCTATGGAATTGCCCCAAGACCAATTCTGACTACATGTCTAGTCCAGTCTTCCTCCCCAGGGACTTTTAAGCTCCTTCCATCCAAGTGTGAAACATTGCTCATAATTTTGCACACGTACATCACCTTTTGTGCCACTGGCATTCTAAAGCCCTTTTGAGGAACACCATAAATCTGCTATTTCGGTTAGGCAATAATATATAGGAATGGTTGTACGACAGGAAAAAGAACACCGTATCCAATTCAAACTGCAGGGGAAATTTAGGTCAGCCGAATCTAATGACCCACACGGAAACCTGGCCAGGACACTGGGGTTATCACCCTTTGCTTGCAAAGAGTGCTACGAGATCTTTTGATGGCCAGGCCTCGGGTTTAGATTTCCTTCACGAAGGATTAGCTGAACACCAGAAACAACAGTTACACAGGTCAAAGGGTCATCCTTTGCGGTGACTGGCCATTAATCAGTGGTGAGCTGCAACATGATCTCCCTATGGAATTACATTCCACTCGTTTTCATCTCCGAGACTTAAAGTGGACTTCCAAGGAAAGACAAATAATTGGGATGGATGTTTTGTTTTCAAGGCAGAGCTGTGGATCCAGAATCATAGTCATGCCAGGAAATCTGCAGGCCAAGTCTATATTTATATTAATTGCTTTTTAACATTTAGATGCTACTTTATTTTATAAACAAGTGGCCAAGTGGCTAATAGAATCATTAGAGCAATAAACATGAACTGCTGAAATATTACATGTAACAACCAGTGGCGTAGCGTGGGATGTCAGCACCCGGGGCAAGGCAAGTAATTTGCACCCCCTAACCCGTGGATTTGCGCCCCCTAACCCGTGGATTTGCGCCCCCTAACCCTAACCCCCAGGTGTTGTGCCCAGTGCGGCCGGCCCCCCCTGCACCCCCCACGCTACACCACTGGTAACAACAGAACAGAATTAAAAATAAACAAGCTAGCCTTTAGGGGAAAGGCCATAGCTCAGTAGTGGAGCATCTGTCTTGCATGATGGTGGTCCCAGCTTCAATACCTAGCATCTCCAGGTTAGGACTGGGAGTTTCCGTCTGAAACCCCAGAGAGAAGCTGCCAGGCAGTGGGCAATGTAGACAATACTGAACTAGAAGAACCAATGGGTTTGATTCAATATAAGGTAACTTCCTATGTTCCTAACCTCCCTGTTAGCATAAATAGAAACAGTAATCACTTAAAAATAGGGGAAAACTCTATGTTAAAAAAGTTAACTGTCAGCAGGTTGACTGACCTCAAAAGCCAGGTTAGCAACTCAATGGAATGTCCTTTAGGTAAACACCCAGATGCAGTCAGTGTTGAGGCCATAAAGGCCTCCCTCTAAAGGACATTCTATTGAGTCAGTGGCACTACTAAAAAGGGCCTGCTCCTGGTGATTGGCCTACCACTGTTCGCCTCCCTGCCTTGTGTCCCACCAGTCCCAATGGACATCGGCCATGACCAGTCAAGCAAACCACTGGAAGGACAGGTGGTTCCAGCGTCATTCAGTGTCTCAAACCATTTATGGGCACCATCCCATGTGCAGGCAACCTTAGGCTTATGTTTAAAACACTCAGAGGTATTTTGTTCTAGTAAACAGTATATATATTTTGTTAAAATAAAAAAATACTCTGCTCTTGCAACTGCTTATGTTTATTAAGATAACAGTTACCTCGTCCAGCCCACATTTTACCAGCTTCTCTGCAAGAATATCATGGAAGACTTTGTCAAAAGTCTATTTTATTAGGTCTTGCTGTCCTTCATTTGAATTTCAGTAACTTTACGAGTGACATCCAAAGCTGGACCTACTGAAATGATATTGGATATCACACATTTTTTAAAAAAAAAACATTAAAAAAACCCCAAGCCTACTTGTGTTTGCTTTGTTTCAGCTTGTTTTGTTGAGCTTATGTTACATATGTTTTATTCATCTATGTTGTGGACTGGCAGAATATACGTATAAATAATTTAAATAGATACATATTAGTTCAAGTTATGCCCCATTAAACTGGACGGAGGAGGGAAGACAGAAAGTACACAGGGGAGCTCAGTTATGGTATCCACAATAATAAACGTCAGCAGGCACAGACAGTTGCTTTATTAATAAGCGATGTTTACAAATCGCTACCTTAAAAAAAAATTATAATAGGTTCAGGGGTGTCGGCATGTGATGACGTCGTGAACAGTCGCCGGAAGCGGAAGTTCCCTCCTTTCTCTCGTTGGTGAGCCTCTCGAGCGAAGTATGGCCCCTAGCCGGTGTCGCCGGACAGGCTCCCACAAGGCACATTCCTTGGCGCGCCAATGGAAGACGAAGCGGCGGCGCCGGGATCTGGATCAGATCCACGAGGACATGCTGCCTGAGAAATCGGCCAAGCTGCTGCGCCAAGAGCCGGACCCTGACATGCCCGGGAGCGCCCAGCACTATTGCCTGCATTGCGCGTGCGTAAAAGGGAAAGGCGGGGCCGGGGTTCGGTTTGTCTCTCTACGACTTCGTTTTTGCTTACTGCGCCTGCGTTAAAAAGAAAGCTGCTTGACCCTGCTCTTTTTTTAGCATAGAGATACGAAAGTTTAAAGTAGGCTTCCTCAAACTCGGCCCTCCAGATGTTTTGACACTTGACCATCATCCCTGACCACTGGTTCTGCTAGCTAGGGATCATGGGAGTTGTAGGCCAAAAACATCTGGAGGGCTGAGTTTGAGGAAGCCTGGTTTAAAGTAACTCAATCGGTTACAGCACTATAGAACTCCTTTTATTTAGATTTTCTTACCCCGGGATGGAAGTGAGCACTGCCTATAGAAGTGAATAATTTTAGCCTGCCTATCCATGCAGAAACCCAAGGAGGCCTATCTTTTTCTAACTCACGCCTTCCCTTGGGTTTTTAAACGGTTCCCCACCGCATGTACCATATACATGTGCCAGTATAGCCAGTAATATCCATATTGGGTAGGGTTGAGGGGGTCTTACTGCAGTAAGTGCACTGGAACGCAGGAAGGGCTGTGCAGACACTGTATATTTAAAGCACCCCGCCAAAGAATTATGGGAACTGTAGTTTAGCTACAATTCCCAGAACTCTTAACTCCAGTTCCCACGATCATCTTGGGAGAAATATGCTTTAAATGTATGGAGTGTTTACAGCCTGCCTGAGCCAGATCACTGGTCCATCTAGCTCAGTGTTTCCTACACTGACCGGCAGCAGCTCTCTGGGCTTTTAGGCAAGAAGTCTTTCTCAGCCCTACCTGGAGATTGAACCCGCAACCTTTTGCATGCAAACTGGTGCTCTCTTGAGTTGTGGCATTTTCCCTCTTTTAATATTGCAGGTGAGAGGTGGGTCTGGTTGGGCTTTCCTGCCACTCCCCGCCCCCCAAATACTCCTTGGGTTGCAGCAAATGTTATTCTACTTGGAATTCCTATCCCTGATGCAAATCTAATCTTTGGCTGTCTGAAGAAGCCTTATGCTTACCATAGCAAGATGCAAGAGAGGACAGATCTCCTGCACCTTTAACACTTGAATAGAAGAGGGAATTTCAGCAGCTGTAGCTTTTCATGCTGAGTTTCCCTCTTTTACTCTATTTGTGCTTCATTGCCTTGCACTCAGATATGTTGCATTTGTGGGTTGTTTAATATAAAAAACAACAACCTTTTGCACACAGGTAGGACTGGATTTAAAAAGAACGCAGAATTCCTGCTTTCTTCTCTTTACTGCTATCTTTTGTTTCAAACAATGGGATAAGCATTCATGCCTTAACTCAGGAGTAACCAACATGATGCCCTCCAGATGTTGTTGAGCTCCAGTTCCCACCATCCCCATCCAGCATGGCTAATGGGCAGAGATGATGGGGCTGGAGTCCACATCTGGAGGCCACAGGTTTCCTGCCCTTGCATTAGGACAGGCTTCCTCAACCTCAGCCCTCCAGATGTTTTGAGACTACAGTTCCCATCATCCCTGACCACTGGTCCTGCAAGCTAGGGATCATGGGAGTTGTAGGCCAAAAACACCTGGAGGGCTGAGTTTGAGGAAGCCTGCATTAGGACCTTAACTGATGTATCCCTTCATTGGTTAAAATGAAAGGGGGTATTTGTTCCTGGGAGGGAGCATATGTTGCTGGATCCCAAACTCCTAACTGGGCAGAATCAGGGCAGTTTCTTCTGCACTGCCAAGAAAAGTGGACAAGTTTAGAGCAGTGCTAGAAACTGAAATATGAAAGCTAGGAGCTAAATGGCACTTTAAACCTGGGTTATGGGCACAACAACTGAATGTCTAGGTGCACTTTTTAGTAACAAGAATACAAAGCTGAAAATGAATGAAGTGCAGCTAAAATATTATGTTCATTTTTCACAAGATCTAGTTTTTCCCCTGCTCACCCTCCTAATATTCTTAAAAGGGTCTCTTTTCCAGTCTTCAGAGAGTAGTTGGAAGTAGGTCCTCCTTTACTTCCACTCTGCAGTTTTAATTTGAAATCCTAGGTGCAGTACTGTGCCCAGAGCTCAGAAACTGCTTGCACTAATGAAATTCCCTGATGCAAAATGCACCTAGAACAATGGGAGTTTCGAACACTGGTGTAGAGGGTTGAGGTGTTATGAAATGACATGAAAGCTCAGCCTGCAGTTTTGATGGCCATTTTCATGCATTCAAATATTTGCTTGGTGCCGTTGCAATAGGCACAGATAAATGTAGGTCAACAAAATGATTTCTGGGAATGAACTTTCTGTTTTTCAATAGGCATCAAGCAGCTTAACATTTTTCCTTTTTCTCCCTCAACAGGCGATACTTCGTTGATTTAAAAAGCATGAAGGATCACTTCAGATCTAAGGTTCACAAAAAGAGGTAATATGAATTCAGCGTATTATACAGCATAACCTTTTTCTCTAGGGAATTAACACCTGTAGACACATAGGCTTGCCTATGCACCTTGCTCTCTAAACCTTCCAACGTTTTGGAAAAGCACTTCACTAATTTTATGTATGTTGCCTGGGTGCTGTCTGGTTAATGTATGTTTGTTATAAAATAAGTGAAAAAGATGGGCAGTGGGGGCCCTCTTGGCAGCTGGGCTACTCTCAGAAGTTTGGGGTGGGATTTCCTCTTTGTATAGATGTGTCTGGCACCTTCACAGCATAGGTTTTATTGTGTACTTCTCTCTTCCCTAACCTTTAGCCTGTGATACATATTTTAAGGACCCACAGAAGAGGAAAGGAACCAGAGTTAGTGTTGTGTGCAAACCAGGATTCATGGATTGTTCTTCTGAAAACTTAACTCATTTTAGCATGTCTATTTCCTGGGAGAGTCACCTGAAAAAAACCCAACAACGACAAAATACTGATTTGATTTTACATTTGACTATTATCATATGGTATCCATTCTAGATGTCCAGTTTGACTTGCAATGTATTAATTGTGTTGCTAATTAATTTCATTAAACAAGTACATTTCTTGAAATGGGAAAGAATGCAGTGGAACAGTTTCCATCTCAGTGCATCAGTGGCTCCTCCTTGACTTATAGCACTGCCATCTAAATGGCTCTTAACCATGCTATTGGTAGAATATGGGCTGTAGCCAATGCTAGTTAAAATTAATGAACGTGACTAACTTAGGTCCATGAATTTAAAGGTCTATTTTGAGTAATAGGGGATGCGGGTGGCGCTGTGGTCTAAACCACTGAGCCTAGGGCTTGCCGATCAGAAGGTTGGCAGTTTGAATCCCCACGATGGGGTGAGCTCCCGTTGCTTGGTCCCAGCTCCTGCCAACCTAACAGTTCGAAAGCACGTCAGAGTGCAAGTAGATAAATAGGTACCGCTCCAGCGGGAAGGTAAACAGTGTTTCCATGCGCTGCTCTGGTTTCAACAGAAGCGGCTTAGTCATGCTGGCCACACAACCAGGAAAAACTGTCTGCGGACAAACGTTGGCTCCCTCGGCCAGTTAAAGTGAGATGAGCGCCGCAACCCCAGAGTCATTCGCAACTGGACTTAACTGTCAGGGGTCCTTTACCTTTTTTTACTTTGAGTAGTACTAGCACTGGATGCAACTGTAAGGAGAAAAGTAGTGGAAATTGGCTTTTTTAAGACTTAAGTAAATCAGTTTAAGCAGCTTCGGGGTGGGAGGTGGATCGCCAAAGTTTGCAAGCTCATTTGACTTAAGTTGATTTTGTTTGCTTTGTAGACTGAAGCAGCTGAGTGAGGAGCCGTACACCCAGGAGGAAGCAGAGAGAGCGGCTGGAATGGGGTCCTATATACCTCCGAAGAAAGTCGAAGTCCACACACAACCGTTGGATGAGATGGAGGAATCTGGCTGAGAGACGTGGAGCCCATCTGAAAATTCTGTAGATAACTTGAGACAGTGGGGGGGGGGGTGATTTGGCATGTGACATGAGGCTTCAACCACAACTATTTCATGGTAGTAGAACTGGGGCATAAAATGGCTTCAGTGGACATAAGCATCGCTTTTATTTTTTGTGACGGAACCAGCACTCTTATCCTGTCCTTTTGGCAGAAGATGGAGTTCAGCTGGAGGTCTGGGAGCGGATGAGCAGACCTCCCCACTGTCCTATTGACCTGCTTATGTAACTAATTGCGTCTCTTATAGCGGCTCATGTTTGTAAGCCGTGACTGTGGATTTTTAGCATTCTGCTCTGAATGTGACCTTTCTCCAGCTTCCAAATGAGACCCTTTTAATAAATGAGCTGGCAAGCTGCTGGGCTGACCCTGGGCCTTGTGCTTCGCTTGATTTGATTGAATGCTATAAAGTAGACTTTCAAGGGCCTGGAAGAAGAGCAGCAGATGACACACAGAAACCATTCAGTTTGCATGAGGAACAATTGCTTTGGGTTCCGTGTTCAGAACAACTAACTTTGCTTAGAGCTCTCCATTCATCCATTAAGTGTGCATTGGTGGGTTAAGGGAAATCTTGCCAGACTTTAGTGTCTCTTATTGTGAGTGCAGCCAGATATTTAGAATGGGATGAGGTATTCTTGTGCGGGAGAACAGGTGGAAGAGAGAACAAGCCATGTTCTTGCATGTGCCCTCCTCACCTCTTCCCTCCTCAACGCATGCCTGGTTTCGTTGCTTCTGCCCTGGGCAGATGGGACTTGTCCACCTGGGAAGGTAGCTCATCCAGGAGAAGGAAAACTCTGATCCTAAATCTCTGCTGCCTTGCGGGAAATCTTCGGGAAAAGAAAAGGCTAAAGAGTCAACCCTACACAAATCTGGAGTGGAGTCCCTAAGAAGGTTGGATGGCGCCTTGTACGCCTCCTTCCAGCAAGTCCTGCAGCCAAGCTGGTGCCAAATGTATTGCTCTGCTTTCATTTGGACCACATCAGTGTGGCAGAGGGGGGGGTCTTGTCCCAAGACCTCCATACACACAGCCCAGGCTTGCACCCCAGGGAGGTCACTTCAGTGCTGCTAATGCATAAGTTTGACTTCATGCCCGCAGGCATCCTCTGTTGTCTCTCGAGACAGACGGATGCCAACACCAACAACCTTAGTTTGTTTCGATGAAAGGGAACAATTCACACAGCACATAGTAAAGCTTTGGACTTGCTCCCACAGGATGGTTGGTTGGTTGGTTGGTTGGTTGGTTGGTTAGGAAAAAAATTATATACCACTGGATTGTAAGGGGGGGACCCTCAAAGTGTTTTACAAGAAAGAAAGAAAACAATAAAATTATCAATAAAAACTCTTTAAAAACCAAAAATGGAAACATTAAAAACATAGTAAAAATCGGTCATAATCTAAAAACAGATTAAAACACCTGTCAGCATTCTACATGTCTGGGTAGGCTTGCCTAAACAAAAATGTTTTTAGCAGGCTCTGCAAAGAGAACAGTGAAGGCAGCTGCCTGATGTCAACAGACAGAGAGTTCTGAAGTGTGGGTCCTGCAGACATTTAAATAGGTAGTTGTGTAACGTTATCAGTTGATAATTCTTTACAAATGGTCTGCTTGCTCACAACAAGGAATATTACATTGCAAAGTCTGGATGTGTTTGTGGGTTTTTTTTTTTAAATTTCGGTATTTAGGAGGTTGAATGAGATACTGCAAATATACATCTCATTTAGGTAAGCATGGAACTGTGTACCAGGTTCAGATTTCTGGGTGGTATAGAAATAATTGAATCATTTTGGGTTACACTGTGGTGTATACTACATGCCCACTTTCTAGGCCATATGGAAGTATCATTAAACGTAATACTGCTGTGATCGAGTGAGTCAGGCCCTAACATCTTGCATACGCCGTGTGCCTTGTCATGCCTGTTGAATCAAGATATTGCTAGCTCTTTTAGACCCTGGAAATAATGGAAGAGGAGCCTGCGGCCCTCCAAATGTTTTTGGACATTTCTGTTTGCATCATCCCCGACCCTTGGCCTTAGGGCTGATGGGAACTGGGGCCCAACAACACCTGGCGAGCCAAAGGTTTCCAACCCCTGCTATAAATGGTTGGCATCCTAGGAGCAGAAATAAATCCTTTGCCACAGCCGTTCATGCATATTGCTTCAACGCGTTTAGCTGTTGACATCTGCTGAAACAAGCACATCATTTGCTGTGGATCTGCAGAGATTAAGCCTCTATACAAAAAGGCTTTTGGAAGAAGAGGGAGGGATGTTTTTAATCGCCACTACTGCCTCTCCCTTAGCTATTTAGGAGGGACACAGTGTCAAGAACTATTCTAGCCTTTGTTTATGGCTCTGATCATGGAATCTGTTGCAAGTCTCTAAACTCTGATAATCTGTGTTGTTTGTTTTTAACTGGGCAAGGGGTGTGACTTGGGGGGGGAGGAGCCTGCACAGGGTCCCAGGAAGCAGAGAGAGGTCTAAAGGTTCACATTTGACCCCTGGGGTTTCCCCACCCTTGCTTAAGGAAAGACTGGCTTTGGTCATGTAGCAAACAGCTGCTCCCAGGGTGCAAAAATGACACAGGCAACATTCTTTAAAACAGAGATTTATTGTACACAGTGCAACACGTTTATTCCTTGCATTGTTGGTATGAGACAGATGAATCGGCTAGTGTGGTGTTTGAGATCTAGCTGCCTTAGCAAGAGCCTAATCCAGAGAGGAACAAGGGCAGATTTTGGTGTTGAAGATTTAACGGGGGCCATAGCTGAGTGGCAGAGCACCTGCTTTGTATGCAGCGGTCAAGCCCTGGTATCTTTAGCTTAAGGAGCAGTGGATAGCAGGTGATGAGAAAGGCCTCTGCCTGAGATTCTGGAGGGCCTCTGCCTGTCAAAGTAGACAATACTGGGCAAAATGCAAAAACCACTCTGATCTGGTAAACGGCAGATTCTCGTGTTCTGTGGGTAAATTGGTCTGAAACTCCCTGAAGAAGGCAACAATTATCTTCCTGTAAGAGGTGAAAGATTCACCTGCCTCGCCTTTGCACCCTTTGAAACTCCTCACCAACCCCAAATCATGGGTGCACTTTTTAAAACGGAAGGCTGAGCGCCTTTAAAAATCCCCCTCTCCTTAATTGCTCATGGGAAGGCATGATGTAGGTCACGGCTGTCTGGCCACATATTCCGTTACATAACGGGCAGTCTGCAGTTCCTTTTGGTTTTCCCATGATGCACTGCTTTGGCCCAAGTCAAGTGGGAGGGAGCAGACAGCGAATGCGCTCGTTCAACCGTCTGTAATACATTCGCTTGCCTTTTAATGCAGTGCATTATGCTCATCCGACTTTTTCTCCCTGCCCCTCTGCAATACTGTGAGGGGGTGGGCCTGGCCCTCCAGGAAATAAACCCCTTTTCCTTGGGAATTCTGTAAGACTTCGATCTTAGTCTATAAAAGACCCACCTTTCAACCTCCATCTGTAACAAAGGATCCATATTTAATTTCTTACTGTAGATCTATGTCGTCTTTCTCCCTCTTTCCTATTCTCTCAAAACAAGTGTGGGGAATCTTTTTTGACCCATGGGCCACATTCTTTCCTGGGCAAGCTCCCAAGGGCCACATGCTGGTGGTGGGCGGGGCTGGAGGCAGAAGTGGGCAGAGCAACAAATGCAAATTTTAACTTTTGTACAGTATCTGCACACACCCCTCTACATCTTCCATCCGGACAAGTGAGAGGCTTCATCAGATTTCTAGGACACAATCCGGGGTGTAAAGCAGGGCCAGGGAGGGGTGTAGCCTGGGGAGAGTTCGGAGGGCCAGACATTTGGCCTCTGAGCTGAAAGTGTCTTCCTTGTCTTAACCACTGCTCCAGCCCCTTTAGGTCAGGCTGGTACCCATGTGAGGGTCCTAACACTGCACTGAAGATCAGTGCTGTAAGGCAGATGCAGGGAACATCTGGTCCCCAGGTGTTGCTGAACAACAGCCATTGGCCATGCTTGCTGGGGCTGGTGGAGTTGTACAGCAGCATTTAGAGGTCCAAAAGCTTCGCCATAACTGCTTTAAGGCAGCAACTGGCAGGAGTGTGCATGTCACTCTAGCAGCTTAGGATGATGCTAAGAGGAGGACCTGCATGCTCTGCCGTGACAGGGTGGCTTCTGACTTCACAAACTGAGCAGCTGAGTTGTTGATACTGGCAATTTCCCCTTTTCTCCATTGGGCTATATCACTTAATGTATGTCGTCTTTCAGGTGGTTCATAAAACAAGTGGGGTGGCCTTTGTGTTTAGCAGGGAGGTTCTGGGCTACAGGATCAACCCTGCTGACGGGTGGGCAGGTGACATCAGCTCAACTGCCACCATGTGTGGCTGTTAATCCCCTGTGAAGAAAATACCCAACTCTATTACAGTGTCAAATAATAATAATAATAATAATAATTCCCTGCTGCATCCCCTGGAGGGCAACCTTAACATGCCCAGGCAGAAAGCTTCCTGTGACAAGCTAAGGCAATATTGGACCCAACCAATGAGGTTAGCTCTTCAGCTTCCTTCCTGCGTGGCCATCCTGGTTTAAATCCATTTCTGGGCTTTGAATGAGGATCAGATCCAGGGGTAAATTGGGGCAGAGGAATGCAACCCTGGTAGTGGCCCCCTGAAACTAGAATGAAGCAAGTTGGGCAATAGCTGAGTTGACCAGGAGGATCCAGTAGGAGAGAATGAAACTAGCATGGCCGGAAGGGGCACTAGCGACACACCGTCTGTGAAAGAACAAGGAAAGTTGGCGCTGAGTTTTCTAATGTGAGCCACCCAGCCGGCGCATGCACAGGATACCTAAAGGATGCTGCTTGTGCCGCAGAGTGCGTGCCAGGGTCTCTCTCCAACCTTGTTTCTTTTCTGTGCGTTCCTGGAATCCTCTTTGGCCCGTGCAGCTGCTGCTTGGCAGCCCAAGCGTCAAGGTTCCGGATTTGGTTTGGTCTCTTCACTCATTTGCCGGGCGCTGTAATAGGAGAGGCTTAATCCCATAATGGCCAGCAGTAAAGCCAGGTGATTCATCAGCCGGTCTTGAGGTTCCGACTCCAGTCCACTGGCCAGTTGCATCTGTAGGGATGGAAAAGTTGAGGTGTAAACCTTTAGAACTGGCGTGGAGAAGCTCCTTATACAGAGTCAGAGCCACTTGACCCATCCTGACTAGCAGTGGCTCTCCAGGGTTGTTGGCCATCAAAAGCAGTGCCCTCATGTCTACTTGCAGGCTTCCTGTTAACATCTGGTCGGCCACCATAAGAACAGGATACTGAACTAGGTGAACTTTTGTTCTCATCTAGCAGGGCTCTTCTAATGTTGCAGGACTCCCAACTTCCTTCAGCATGACCAGTAATCAGGGATGATGGGAAATGTAGCCACCATTTTGAGAGTCATGGGTTCCCCATCGCTGCCTTAGAATGTCAAAAGCAAACCCAGCATTCGTATAGTGCAAATCGGTCAATTTCATACTATGAATTATACCCCAACACCAAAATACAATACTGTATTACAAATTACATTTTTAGGCAGCGGGAGAGAGGTTTTTCAGTTTTTTTGTTTTTGTTTTAACCCTCTACCTTTTTTAAATGATTGATAATAATAATTTATTATTTATACACCCATCTGGCTGGGCCTCCTCAGCCACTATGTGGCTCCCAACAGAATATTAAAAACAAGATAAAACATCAAACATTAAAAACTTCCCTAAGCAGGGCTGCCTTCAGATGTTTTCTAAAAGTCAGGTACAGTAGTTGTTTATTTCCTTGACATCTGATGGGAGAAACCGCTCCAGTAGCTAACAATTGCTAAATCCCTTTCCAAGAACGAGCCTTTCTTTGTTTACTTTTACACTGTGTTTTGGCAAGCTAGACCATACCTTCTGCATTGTGCACCACCGGTTTAGACTTAAGACACACCCTCTCTCGACATCCTAGCAAACGGGGAACTCTGCTAAAGAGTTTGCCTCAGGGATTGTCATCTTGGTTAGTTGTACATCATTAACTTTGAAGTAGCTGATATTACACAGGCTGCTGGAGCAATTCTGTGTTAATTAAGTGATTAGAGCTGTTTCCTTATATGACACTCGGGGGAGAAATAGGGTTGCCTGTTTAATTTTGCAATGGACGTTGCCTGCAGGTCAAGCAAATCAGCCACGCTTGCCAGCCAGCTAGGTGGTGGAGGAGAGTGCACACACATTGTGAGTTCATGTGCATGTGCACTACAGCCAAGAGCCAGAAATTTACAGCATGATCCTTTATAGGTCTATCCGAAAGCAAGTCCCAGTGTGGCTTATTCCTAGGGGAGTGAGTACAGGATTGCAACCTTAATTTCTAGAAACCTGACGGAGGGAGGCAGAGATGAAATCTGAAAGCTGCCTGGCATGTTTGGCAGAGGTGGTGGTAGTGAGAGAGTTTTTGTGTGTGTTTGTACTAATAACATTTTAAAAAGGTATTCCCAGCAGTTCCCCAAATGTCTCTCGTGTACCAGGGACAGGTACCAAGTGTAGGATTAGCCAGTGGATCTATTCTTTTTTGATGCTGCTGAAAATCCCATTTGGGTACCCTAGAGTATGGTTAAACTAAGTGCAGTCTCCAGCACTGCAGGGCTTTGCATGAACCAGCCAGCATCTCCTCACGTGGCTCTGCCATACACAGCATCCTCCCCTCTCCTCCCCTGCCCAGAAACACACAGCTCTGTTCGGCAGGCAGTGTGATCTAAGAGATGCCTGTTGCTAGTCAGCTCTTGTTCACGTGAGCTTGGAGTGTTAAACTGACAACCTGGTTTGAAGGCAGGTGTGCAGGTGTTAAGTTAATATTCATATTAACTTAATAAGAGTGCAAAGTTAATATTCAGGCTTTAAAAAAAAATCTATGGAAGCTGGATGTCAGAAGATGTGCAAGTGGGATTTAGGCTAAGGAAGGCCAATTTCTTAATGGGGGTGGAGAATAATGCTGCTTCCCCATTCACCCACCCCATGTAGGAAGCCACCTTACACTGTTTCAAATCACTGGTCCATCTAGATCAGTATTGTCCACACTAACTGGCAGCATCTCTCCAGGATTTCAGACAGGGTCTTTCCCAGGCCTACCTGGGGGTCAAACCTGGGACCTTCAGCAGGCAAGTCATGCACTCAACTGCTGAGCTAGTGCCCCCTCCCCTAAACAGAGTCAGAGTTGGTCCACCTAGCTGTGCCTTGTCTGTAGTGGATTTCAAACAACAATCTTTCCCAGTCCTGCCTGGACACACCAGGGATCAAACCTGGGACCTTCTGCTTGAAAAACAAATGTTCTGTGGCTGAGCTATGGCTCTTGCCTGTTTTGTCCCCCAAGGAAAAGTAGCTGGGAGATAACAGGTTTTGTACAATAAAACAGAACAGCCAGAGGTGATCAAGTTAAGCAAGGTGTTCCCCAGCTCAAAGTGGCAGCAGCCTATGGTCACTTTTTGTCAGCTGCAAAACTAAAATGATCCTCACTGTTGATACGTATCTGTTGCTGTGAAACAAGTTCCATTGCAATCAATTAATTTCTGGTTAAGACACAGATGAGACCTAGCTCGGAGAGCTGCAACCCTTCTAACTGCATCTTTACGTCAAAGTAAGCCCCACTGAGCTTCGGTGTTAAGTGTTCCTTGGTTACTCAGTGGATGGATCATGGCAAGTTCTCAATGAATGCATCGACTGAAAAATTCAAGGCTCTCCAAAAGTTTAGTTGCGGCACACCTTGAAATTGTTAGGAACTGGAAAGTGGTGAAACCACTTATCGACAAGAACTTGGCTTGAACTCTGGCACTTCGCACTTGGTGAAAAGATGACCCAAGAGTGCAAACAGGTGTGGGGCAGGGTTAGCATTAACTGACAAACCATGGCTGCTAGCCATCTATGCCCTCCTAAATGTTGTTGGACTCCAGATCCCATCAACTCCAACCAACATGGCCAATGGTCAGAGATGATGGGAGCTGTAATACAGCAACAGCTGCAAGGCCACAGGTTCTCCACCTGAGATCTAAAGAGTTCCCCCAGATGATGATGATGATGATGATGATGATGATGATGATGATGATTAGCCCACCCTTCACCCTAAGGACCCAGGGAAGGTTACATCAATTTAAAACACAACATTAATAAAATAATTGTAACTTAAAATCACAAAATGCAATCACAAAAAATAGTCCTGCAAATATACATCGCAGGTGTCAAAAGGGCTGGGTAACAATTCATTCAGAGTCTAAAATTACCTAACCACACTACTGAATACGCTACTTTGGAACTGATTCTGCTCAAGATCACAGACTTTAAAATATTCTAACACTCCGCAAGGTAAGAAGTATTGAGCTTACTTGTAGGAGGCGGAAGTACCCTGGGGTTAAACACTTCAGACGGAAGATCATAGCCCAGAGCAAGTGAGGGAAAGGATAGGTTGCTGTCGCCTTTCCCCCCTCTGATTCCTCCCTCGTAGCTTTGTACAGTTATTTTAAGTTGATTCAGGCTGTGGGAGGAAGGGGAAAGAGCTCGTTAGAACATGGTGACCAAGAACAGAAGGAGGAAGAAGAGGAAGAGGAGGAGGTTGCAGCAAACACCGACTGAAATTTTGTAGTGGAACTGTCTATAGATCTTGTCTACAGGTAGCCCAGTTGGCAATCAATGAATTATCTTTGTGGAGTGCCCACCATTGCTAAGGGCTAACTGCACGGACTGTTTTAGAGTTAAGTAAATACAATTCACATTTCAGCCACATCAGTCGCCTACTGCAGGGCAACTCCCTGGGTCACAGCGGTGCACGGTGGAACATCGTCCTACATTCCCCCATTGCTCCCAACCATCTTCCCCATTCTTCAGCCTGCCCTGCTCCCATCTTGTTCATTTTTTACTCAGACACAAGGGCGATATTCATAAGCATTCATCCCACCACTCACCAGCTTCTGGATCCCGTTCCTTGTGTGTCGCGTTCCAGCAGTACATACGGGCAAGTGTGTTATGGGAGCGCTTAAATATTGCCCTCCTCCCATCGCTGCCCGATGACGATCCCTTCCGCAGCCAGCCTCAGGAGCAGCTGTCACAAGAGATCAGTGCCTGCTGCTCTGCCGACCGCACGCTATCCACGTGTGAAGAGGAGTCGGCTTTGGTTGCGGAAAGAAAACCTGTGAGGGCTTTGTGCTGCTCGCACCATCCAAGGAGAACCAAGTTCCACCCCAATGCAGCAAAAATTTCAAAGCTGGCCTTTCCTCTTCTAATTTTATTATTTTCAAAATCATGTGCATATATGTCTGAGAAACAAAGATAACCCAAAAAACCCAATGGAGTTTTCCCTAGAGAACCCCCTAAAGTACATTATGGAAGTCAGCATTCCCATACATACACCAGGATTTATAACAGTATACAACTGTAAAACATGCTCTTATGTGATCTACAAGTTAGTAGAAACCTTTGGGACTGGTCTTTGGTTTTCCAAACAAAATAAAGCTCTGCCATTCTCCAGGAAAGATGTATTTGTGCTTCGTTCCTCTTGCCAGTCTCAGCGGGTGCAGCTACAATACTATTCCATAATGGCAATACGCCTTATGCCAAGTATTCAAAGTTTGCATCTTTTAAGTCTTTCCAAAATGTGGCTATAACCATACAACACAGGCTTTTGTACCTGTAGGCCTTACCAACAAAGGGTGCTTTCACAAGGTTGCCACCTAAAGCAGATGCATTGTGGGAAAGGTCAGTGTGTGTAAAGATGGGGAGGTGACCTAAAGATGCATCTATCGTCCTCTGAAATGTATTTTTTTAATTCCAACTTTTTAAAAACTGAATATAAAAGCATAAAAAGAGCCTTGCAGAATCAGGCCAAAGGCTTGTCTAGTCTAGCATCTTGTTCTCACAGTGACCAACCAAATGCCTATGGGAAGATGTTCCTTCAGGTATTGCGGTCCTGAGCTGTTTAAGGCTTTATACTGTAGGTCAAAACCAGCACTTTGAACAGCGCTGGGTTTAGGGTGATATGGGTGGTTCCCCTGCACAGGACATTGTGCCGAGGAGCGCAAAACAACAACAACAACAACAACCTACACTTATACAGATACCTGCTGAGAAGATCCATAAAAAAGCAACTGTACCAAAAGAAATTGTTGTGAAAGTAAGAAATATGGGAAGGGGTGTCATAATCATATTACCAGAGTCTGTCTGGAAACTAATTGGAAGCCAGTGCAGTCAGGTCAAGATCCGTGCAATATGCTCATAATGCCTTGCCCCAGTGAGCAACCTGACTACCAAATTCTGCACCAGCCGAAGTTTCTGAACCATGTATAAAGGCAGCCCTACATATAACATGAGACAGTAATGTAACCTAGAGACTGCCAGGCATAGACAAAAAGTGATGAATGTTCCTGTCCTGTCCATAACTAACCCCCCACTTCAAAAAAAATGCAGAATTTTATAAGGTGGTTCAATTGTGGAACCTATTCATTGCAAGTGGCATGAGTTTTGGAGTGACAGTTCATCAGTATCAAATATTTAGCCAGTTATGCCTAGGCCCTACACTGTGTAATATTTTGAAACAACTCCAGTCTACACACAGAGAGGAAACCCACCAGCTCCAATCAATGGACCAGCTGCAGATTACTTTGAGCCATACAGTTGCCTGAAATAAATCACAGGCGATTATCTTGATGCTCTGCTTCCTGTTAATCTGCTGGCCCCTGCTCTTCTTCCCCAAATAAGGTGGGGCAAAAGATAATTACTGTGGAATGATCTTGGAAGCACGGAGACAACATCTGCCTTCTGTTATATTTACCCCCACTTCTCTGGGCAGTGAGCAGCCCAGGGTAGCAGCAATAGTGTTTAACTGTCTTTGGACGAGAGCTCTGAGGCAACCTCTGGTCTCTTGGCAATATTTGTTTCATACACCAATGTACAAGCAGAGGGCACTGAAAGTGATCCCTAAAACAGGCTGCAGATCTGCCAGCCCCACATCAAATTTGACTGATTGGATGCTAGTCTATCAGGGCAAATGGGGCACTTCCCCACCGACCTGTCAGCCCTTAGCCAGCACCCACCTGTCTGCCTTCTTAAAACCAGTCTAGAATGTGCCCATTGGCTATCAGCTTGTTCTGCCTTAGATGCAGTGTTGTCCTTGTAGAACTCAGCAAAGAAGAGGATAAGGGAAAAACTAGAAGTAGCTGGCTCTGCCTGTCACTGGCTCTGGCTCCACCTAATGTTTGTCTCCTTGCCTTCTATCCTGCCAGCCCTAATAGGCACTAGCCATCACTGCCTGATGCTGCTTGACTCCAATTCCTATCAGCCTCAGCCAGAGATTGTGGGAGTTGTGGTCTAACAACACCTGGTAGGTCATAGATTCCCTTCCCCTGATTTCCTGGCCTTTGTGAAAAATTCCAGGGCTGTTTGCAAAATGTCAAAACCAGAAAAATAGAGTTTATTTGTGTGTGTGTGCCATTTCTATCAGATTTCTCCAGACAGGACTATCGGTGTAGGGTGCCCCAAGGCAAATATGTGGGCAGCTTCCTGAAAGTTGACAAATGAATGCTGATAGCCGATTCTGGCGCTTTGTCTTCTTGGGACTCCAATAAGGCAAGATGGTTGTCAGAAGAGATTACTCATCCGGATACCCATCCATGCCAGCCAGGAGGAAGAGAACACATTGGTGTGAAAACAAAGAACAATAGGCTATGGCTTGGAGAAGGACACAGAACTGAGGTTTAGGCTCAGAACTGTGGGGATGCTAGAGGTTCCCTAGAGAAGCTACACAGGAGCACCAGGAAAAGGCTGTAGCTCAGTGGTCCCAGGTTCAATCCTAGTATCACCAGGTAGGGCTGGAAAATACTCTGTGCCTCAAACCCTGGAGAGTCCATGCCTGTCAGTGTAGGCAGTACTGAACTACATGGACCACTGATCTGAGTCAGTATCCATCTTCTATGGATTTGTTGACTGTCTCTTGGAATGTGCAAGCTTCATCTTCAGCTGTGCTCCACCTGTATATTTGTAAATAAACACAAATATTGCAGAACGCTGATAAGATTGTAGTGATTGTAGATTGTAGTTCCTGGCAAAGGAAACCAGCTTCCCCCTGAAACTTCTCGCTGTTTGCAGAACTTGGTTTTTGTGTTTCACACTGGTGTTAACTGTGGGATTGCATTTCCCCTGCGTGGAACTGCAAGGTGGTGTGATGAACAGCAATGCTGCTCATGCAATTTGATGTTGGAGCCCTTGCAAGAGAAGTTTGAAGAGAGTCTCAGAAGACACTTTGAATCCAATAGAGCATACAAAATTCTCTGAGAAAGGTACTTCACCTTCAGCCAGTTCACAATTCTCTGCCTTGACCTGCATTCAGAAAATTATAATAATTCAAAAAGGACCATTCTGTTTCCAAGGGATATTGATTCAGTTTGCATTTAAATTGTACACTTCCCAAAACAACATGAGAACCAAAACACAGCCATCCTTTGAAATTCACACTTACTGTGCGATGCAGTTCTCCAAGCAATGTTAACAAAAATGTACATATTAAGGGGGAATGTGCCCATAATTCTTTGAGGGAAAGAATGTGCTTTGAACGTGTTTTGAAGGCATACCGTGTACACAGCCTTAGTGCAAAAAAATATAAAAATGTAGCAATGTGGTCACCAACTTTTCTTTCCACTGGTCCTGCTCTGATGCTTTTAGTGGCAATAACCTGCAGAAAACAATTAAGAACATAAGAAGAGCTGTGCTGGATCTGAGCCATAGGAAAGTCACAAGCAGGAGCTGAGTGCAACAGCAGCACTCCCCACTTGTGAGTTCCAGCACCTGGTATTTAGGGGTGTGTGCCTCTTCTGACAGTGGAGGTAGAAAACAGTTGTTGTGGCTACTAGCCATTGATAGCCTGGCCCTTCATGAATTTGCTAATCCTCTTGAAAGCAATCCAGCAACTCAACTTTGACACAGAAATTACTGAAGAATTATTCCATGATGTAACAGCATACATACGTAGCAATGCATGCAGTGATGTCTTCAGTGATGAGTAGATAGATCTCTGGCATTCTTTGTCTGCTGATTTATCTCCCTCTAGCGGTGATTAGAGCTCATCTTCACACCAGCATTGAATAGTTTGAAGATCATTATTTGATCATGTGGAGGTTTCTTTCTTTCCTTATTTTAAAATACTGCTCTGTAGTCATTGCCAGCTCTGAAATTATTGCCGCAACATATTTTTGTAACCAAGGGGCGCGGGTGGCACTGTGGGCTAAACCACAGAGCCTAGGGCTTGCTGATCAGAAGGTCGGCGGTTTGAATCCCCACGATGGAGTGAGCTCCCGTTGTTCGGTCCCTGCTCCTGCCCACCTAGCAGTTCAAAAGCACATCAAAGTGCAAGTAGATAAATAGGTACTGCTCCAGCGGGAAGGTAAATGACGTTTCCGTGCGCTGCTCTGGTTCGCAGAAGCGGTTTAGTCATGCTGGCCACATGACCCGGAAGCTGTCTGCGGACAAACGCCGGCTCCCTCGGTCAGTAAAGCGAGAAGAGCGCTGCAACCCCAGAGTCGTCCGTGACTGGACCTAATGGTCAGGGGTACCTTTACCTATTTTTGTAACTTAACTTTCAGATTTCAAGAGTTTGCATCCAAGTGATCAAAATCCTCAGATTACCCTGATTTTAAGATGAACATGCCATAATGTAAAATCACCACTGCAATTTCAGCTCTGTAGTATTTGCAAACACAATGAATACTTCTGGATTTTATTTGCATTGAGCTCAGGGATGGGAAGCCTTCGAGGGCTATATCTTATCACCTGGTTTTATACTTGGCTATCTCTTCTAGCATAACCAAAGAACAGGAGGCAGGAGCTGCTGCTGCTGTCCCCTCCACATCTGCTGCCTGGAACAGTTGCCTCACCTTGCCCAATGGTAGAGCCAGCCCTGCCTGGTTAGGATTAGCAAACTTGAGTGCTACTGCTTAGCAGTAAAGGCATAGAGAAATTACCTGAGAACGTGCAAACCCTAGACTTGAAATCTGACTTTGGAAAAGCATCTGACTTGGTATAAGGCAGCTTCCTGTATTCCTTCCCAGGAAGATATGCAGGTAGGAGCTGGCTTGACTGTCTATGGTTAATGGTCACCAGCCACAGGTTTCGTCTCCAGTTCACTGATGTGCCAGACACTATTCCTTTACCTTTTTCCATGTGAGAAATGGTTGAAA